AGTTAAGGAAGAGAACATATGGATGTCAACTTCTTTATTATGAGGAACACAACGTTTCGGAGTATATGCTTACTCCTTCATCAGGTGAATGAATGTCATGAGGCAGTGAGCTCTCTCTCTCTCTCTCTCTCTCTCTCTCTCTCTCTCTCTCTCTCTCTCTCTCTCTCTCTCTCTATTTTGCAAGGAATTTTTGTTGTTGAGTATATATGTTCAGATAGGGACAACAAAATTGATAACTTAAGTACTGGCTTCCATACAGTGATAGTTATTTTCAACATGTAATAATAATAAATATTGTGCAAATCCACAATGCGCCAAATCCACGGCCTAAAACATGCCCAAAGCGATGCATTATTACCCCAGTCAATGTATTAGTGTGCAGTCGAGTTTCATTCTCCGTTCCATGGTTATGATACAACCAAAGCTGCATTGTGTGTGTGTGTGTGTGTGTGTTTGTGTGTGTGTGTGTGTGTGTGTGTGTGTGTGTGTGTGTGTGTGTGTGTGTGTGTCTGTGTCTGTCTGTGTCTGTGTCTGTGTCTGTGTGTGTCTGTGTGTGTCTGTGTCTGTGTCTGTGTGTGTCTGTGTCTGTGTGTGTAGAACACAAGGTACACACTCCAGGGAGCAGACAATTACATATGTGTGTGTGTGTGTGTGTGTGTGTGTGTGTGTGTCTGTGTGTGTCTGTGTCTGTGTGTGTCTGTGTCTGTGTGTGTCTGTGTCTGTGTCTGTGTGTGTCTGTGTGTGTCTGTGTGTGTCTGTGTCTGTGTCTGTGTGTGTCTGTGTCTGTGTGTGTAGAACACAAGGTACACACTCCAGGGAGCAGACAATTACATATGTGTGTGTGTGTGTGTGTGTGTGTGTGTGTCTGTGTGTGTCTGTGTGTGTCTGTGTGTGTCTGTGTCTGTGTGTGTCTGTGTCTGTGTGTGTCTGTGTGTGTCTGTGTGTGTCTGTGTCTGTGTCTGTGTGTGTCTGTGTCTGTGTGTGTAGAACACAAGGTACACTCTCCAGGGAGCAGACAATTACATATGTTTTTGTGTGTGTGTGTGTGTGTGTGTGTGTGTGTCTGTGTGTCTGTGTGTGTCTGTATGTGTCTGTGTCTGTGTCTGTGTGTGTCTGTGTCTGTGTTTGTGTCTGTGTCTGTGTGTGTGTAAAACACAAGGTATATTTCTACATAATGATTTGCTTGCTTCGCTTCAAAGGGCTGAGATGTAGGCCGTGGATATGCTGATATTATATGAGTTTTATAACTGACGAAAGAAATTGTCTTTCCAGTTTGTGCTGACCCGTTTCTAGTCATGTGCTGCGCGCAGGAACACCCTCAAGGCTTGGCGTTCTGAATCAATGTTGGAGTTAAGTTGGCTGATGCCTGTCATTATCATCCTCCACGTTTCATGAAACAAACACTCTACCTTCGTGAACTCGAATCATTTTTTGTTTTAAACACGTATATTTAATAATTAGGGTTGACTTAGTCTGTCTTACAGACCCTGATACACATATATATTAAATACAGCCCATGCAAGTCTTTAATGTTTGGCAAGTCTAGATTACTGCAGTAATGAAAATGAAGAGAGTGTCTGGGCTCCCTTTTATTATATTTTTATTAAGATAATTGAACAACTGGTTTTTTTCTGTACAATATGTTCATTTCAGAGACTAGATGTTAGTCTAGGGTTGACTCCCAAGCCACACATAATGGTAGCTACCATTCAGTAGCTCCAGCTAGAGAGACTGACCTATCGATGGAGTGTGAGTGGGTAGAATGGTTTTACGCCGCTTGTAACAATATTCCAGCAATATCACAGCGGGAGACACCAGAAATGGGTTTCACGTATTGTACCCACGTGGGGGAATCGTATCCGTGTCTTTGGCGTGACGAGCGAATGGTTTATCCTCTAGGCTACCCTACCTACATCCTTTTACGTACAGTAAACTACTGTTATAACGAACTCAAAGGGACTACTAATTTAAGTTCGTTATAACCGTAGTTCGTTATAAGCATATATACAGCATAACTACAGCAAATAGTTGGGACCAAAAAGTAAGTTCGTTATATCTGTTATATTCGTTATAAGCGTGTTCGTTTTAACCGTGGTTTACTGTATTGGGTTTTGAGGGTTGGGTGTTTTGCAAACAATATTTTGTTTCAGAAAAAGTTGGAAATACAGTAAACTACGGTTATAACGAACTCAAGGGGACCTCTAATTTTAGTTCGTTATAACCGTAGTTCGTTATAAGCATATATATACAGCATAACTACAGCAAATAGTCCGGACAAAAGACTAAGTTCGTTATATCCGTCAGTTCGTTATAAGCGTGTTCGTTATAAACGTAGTTTACTGTAGAAGTATTCTCATTCTTGAGTTGAGTTTGGAAAACACCTAACAATCGAACATTTCCAAAACACGTTTCCTGTTGGGTATGCCTGTATAACTTTAATCGTAATGACTATAACACTTATAAAATGACAGACATCGACACAACTTTTCTTTGGGTACATGTTGTGATCACAAGTTACTAGTGTGTTCATTGTCATGCAAGTTTTGTTGAAAACATATCACTAAATGAGTCGTTAATACTTATTTCAATTTCTACACAATCACATTTATAAACCTCCCAATGTACAAATATTCAATATATAGTAGCAAGGGTGTGCGCATCCATGCGCCCTTTTAATGGATATACGTATGCACCATATGATCTTAGATCTGAATACATGATTGTGTCAAAAGTAAGTTAATCGCACTTTTGGATGTTCTTAATATCATCCCACATGCATATGCTTTGTTTGTTTGTTTGTTTGTTGTTTAACGCCGCACTTAGGAATATTTCAGCTATATGAGTGTAACTTCTTTGAGTGGCATTTAGAAGTTGGAATAGTAACTAAGACAAAATTGTTATGGAATAGCAACTTCTTTATTACAATTGGGCGACGTTTCGGTGTAGATTCTAACACCGTTATCAAGCAAATGATGTACAAACTAGGTATGAGCATGATATATATACATAACAATAGATAGATGTATATATAACAGATAAGGTTGATGTACACTGGTAGATTAGGTAGTTATGATAAGACAAGTGTATACAAGAGATAGGATTGATGTACAGTAATTGTTGTGTTGTGTTAATCTCATACCCATCAATTACTGTACATCAATCCTATCTCTTGTATAAACTTGTCTTATCATAACTACCTAGTCAATCAGTGTACATCAACCTTATCTGTTATATAAACATCTATCTGAGTCTGGACCACCTAATCCAGTGATTGATATCGTGAGCATCGATCCACGCAATTGCAATACGATGACATGCAACAACCAAATGAGCGAGCCTGACCACCCGATCCCGTAATCGCCTCTTACGACAAGCATAGTCGTCTTTTACGGAAAGCAACATTCATATGCTAATTTATGCAAATTGTTGGATCATATTGCTAAGTGAACGATACAGAGAGATCCAACCACCATAGTCAACGAAACATTTACATTTGTGACTTTATACTTTGGGGAAAGGAAAGATAAATTCCAGATGTCCTTGACTTTGTGCATATAGTGTGCGTTTTATTTTGATATGTGGGGGCAGGGATCGAAGCACCACCCTTCAGCTCTCCTGGCAGACGGTCTATCCACTAGACCACGGCTCTGCCCTCTTATTTGTGAGTTACGCATCATTTTTCACATGTTAAAATACACGTGAGTGTATTCTGTTCTAGGTCACGGTGACCTTATCAAGAGGACCCTGTAGCCCCCATGAATCATGGTTAAACTGTAGCACCTGACATTCACACGTCACCCTATGTTAAATCTGTGACACAATTAATAAAATACCAAGACAGCGCTTGCGGAAAAAATCGACAGCCATATTTTTCATTTATTGCAGAGGTTGATATTTACCCCGAGTTAAGCTGTGTGTCAGTAAAATTGCCACAATAGGGTGTTGTCTTTAGTAATTCCCATTTTCGTAGGTAAAGAATTCAAAAAGTCTGATAAACAGTAAATTTCTAAACGGAGTCGAGACAGATGAAGATTATTACCCTACTGTGTTTCCGTGTCGTCAATATATTATACTAGGAATAGAAATTGTATCATGCATATATTTATTCCAGATGTGTTTTATTATGATACGGAAACATACTAAGGGTATAATCTCTATCACATTTGACCAACCATGAGATAAGGGACCTTATGGGTGAAAAATCACATTTTGACTTTTCATTATCTTTTTAAACTAGAGTATCTTCTGTACAACAAATATGATTGGCAAACTTCAATTCATATTTATTACAGGGATTCGTGGCATCAAACATTTGGCCTCATTTCCCGGCTTATAACGGTTTATGTAACAATTGCTGTACAGCTTGGTTTGGTTTGTTGTTTAACGCCGCACTCAGCAATATTCCAGCTATATGACGGTTGGTTGGTTGGTTGGTTTGTTGTTTAACGCCGCACTCAGCAATATTCCAGCTATATGACGGCGGTCTGGAAATAATCGAGTCTAGACCAGACAATCCAGTGATTAATATCATGAGCATCGATCCACGCAATTGGGATCAATGACATGCATCAACCAAGTCAGCGAGCCTGACGACCCGATCCCGTTAGTCGCCTTTTACGACAAGCATAGTCACCTTTTACGGCAAGCACGGGTTGCTGAAGACCTACTCTACCCCGGATCTTCACAGGTGCCCTGCTTGGTATATACACTACTTGTGGCAGCCAAGCCTCATACTGCAACTAATCTGTTGGACATAACATCACAGTTGACTTCTCTATTGGTGACAATAACAACCTACCTCACTTATTCAAATATAAGGGGGCACGGGTGGCCCAGTCCTCTGAGGCGCTGCTATTTACTGTGCAGAGTTGCGTCCCTTTGGTCAGATTGTGGGTTCGAATCCCGGTTCGCCCCGATTATGTTTCTAGGTTTGTCAGAACCATATCCGTGCTCGTGGGTTTCACCGAAGTGGTAAACGTCTGAGACCTGCATCACTTTGGTCTTTCCTCCCACATTAAGCTGACACGCCGTGATATAACTGTAATACTGTTAAAAGCGGTGTTAAACCCAACTCACTCACTCACTATTCAAATATAAACCATAAATATTGTGCGCTGCCCCCTACCAATTTGGATCACAGCTTTAAAATCATCATGGATGCTGTCGAAGCATATTCTAAAACATAAGTCAAAAGAGAAGAGGAACTTATTGAGTGGCTTTCATGTTGGTCACGTCAGGGCGTGATGTTGCCCTTGGTGGGATGCATCACTGAAAAGAGGAAACAGAATTGGAATAATCCCATTCGTCCCAGCTAGCATCCATCCAGAGTCTGGCTCCCCTACAAACCACTATCCACATGATTGTTTAACAAGAGGGATGTCTTCAACTTTCCAAAAGTCAACTTTCCCAAATGTCAAGGGAAATTAGTGCAGCTCCAGCGTTTGGTGTCTACATTTTACAACTTTTGAGATACAACAGATCATGATCTTTCTATGAACATTTCAAAGGGAGTCATACGACTCTTTAAAGTTACATCATTCAAGACCTCAGAAAAGCTTTAAAAAGGTTTTATACATGTGAGTGAGTGAGTATGGTTTTACGCCGCTTTTAGCAATATTCCAGCAATATCACGGCGGGGGACACCAGAACTGGGCTCCACACATTGTACCCATATCGGGAATCGAACCCGGGTCTACGGCGTGACGAGCGAACGCTTTAACCACTAGGCTACCCGACCGCCCCTTTATACATGTGAAGGACATTTCCACATTTGACGCTTCAGATACAAACAGGTATATGAGTCGTACCATATGCTCCCGTGTTTGTTGACTTGACATTGCATGTGTTTGTGACGCGACCCGACACTGGGGCAGGATACGCTCACCACACCCCGTATCGTCACTATTTCATTGTTATTAATAAAATAACATGCTCATGATAAAGTCGATCGTACAATGGACATGCGTACATGTGAACACGCCCCCTGTTTGCTTAATGAGCTTTGTTATTGCACAGCTTTACAAAATAACTCCCGATGTTCCTTCTGAAGCCAACAGCCGGGTTGCATGTTCAATATATCTAAGTGAGTGAGTGAGTTGGGTTTAACGCCGCTTTTAACAGTATTACAGTTATATCGCGGCGGGTCAGCTTAATGTGGGAGGAAAGCCCGAAGTGATGCAGGTCTCAGACGTTTACCACTTCGGTGAAACCCACGAGCACGGAGACAGCTTATCAGTATATCAGTGATGGTTGAACGAACTGAATCAAACTTGTCATGGCTGCCACTTTGCCACAGGCTAGCCATCAGTAAAAGCATCCTTAATTAACGCGTTTTTCGCCCGTTGAGAACAGTGACTGTCAGGGTACAAACAAATGTATATTTATTTCCATCATAAGGAAATTATACAATTTGTGGTTTTGATGAAAAATATATTAAAAAAGATCCTAATACAGTTGATGAGCACACGACGTGTGATAAAACTAAACCACCAGTGTCAACACGGCAGGTGCATATCAAGTTCCATAAATATCTTCTTTGATAGGCATTTAGAAGATGGAGTACTAAGTAAGGATACGATTTATGGATGAACAACTTCTTTATTACAATTAAGAGCGACGATTCACTTGTTTGATAACGGTGTTATAACCTATACCGAAACGTCGCTCCTAATTGTAATAAAAAAGTTGTTCATCTATAAATCTTATCCTTACTCAATAAATATCCTCCATCGAAAGAATTTCTTGTTGAACAAAAAACGCCTGCTAAAGAATATGTTGTGAACATAGGTGTAAACAATGCTGTGAACGTCACTGTCTGGATCGCCATGAACATCCCTGTCGTGAACACCATTGTGAACACAACCATGAACATCAGTGTGAACGCAACTGTGAACACTGCCAGGAACATCACTGTAAACACCGCGATGAACACCATTGTGAACACTGTAAGGAATATCACTGTAAACACCGTCGTGAACACCATTGTGAACACAACAATAAACATCATTGTGAACGCAACTGTGAACACTCTAAGAAACGTCCCTGTAAACATCGATGTGTACACCATTATGAACACCGTCGTGAACCCTATTGTGAACACAACCATGAACATCTGTGTGAACAATGCCAGGAACATCACTGTGAACACAGCCATGAACATCGCTATGAACAAACACCACGGTAAATACTACGGCGAAAACCGCTGTGGACACCATGGTGAACACAGCTATGAACACTGCTATAAACATAGTAGCGAACACTGCCGTGAACACCCCTACCAACAACAGATCACGCCCAAGCAGTGACAAATACATATCCAATCACAGAAACTCCAAGAACAGAAAACACATTGAGGTTCACTGAAACCCCATCACCCAGAGCGCCGGGACACTTCCAGGGCTTGAAGTCATGAATATCAGTCAGATTCGTCGGGTGCTGCATCCACTGGACCAACTGATGCATGGTGACAATATACACGTCGTTCAGATCCAGAAGCGAAAGGATAAACCTATCCAAGGCAGAGTTATGGTAGTCGGTATTCAGCCATCCTGGCTTCATGTTCACGATAAAGGGAATCTTTTTACTCCGATAGAAGTTGTAAAAGTTTCTCCACAGAAGTTGAAAAGCATCCGATTCCGTCTCTGGCTTCACGATGCACCCACCTACCGTCATACAAGGGTATTTCTGCTTGTGGTCCAACAGCGCTATAACGGGGATCTCCCATAACGTGTAGTTATTGCTTGGGCATGGCTTTGTTTCACATGGCAACGGCCATCTGTGTTGTAGGGTTCCAGGCCATGTGATATCGTCCTCAAGGGACCTTCTCTGAACGTATAGACTCGAGTCGTACTCAAACCCGTTTTGTTGCAGTATCTTGAACTGTATATCCCCCGTTGGTTGAATATGAGGGCTTCTCCATCCACGAATCTCATTGAGCGGAATTCCCGCCTTTTCTGATAATCGTCGTCTGTTTTTGAGAATCTCTTCCAGCATTTCCTCCCTGTTGGCTTCCCTCCAGAACGATATAGGCAGCTTACCCGTCAAGCTGTTCCCAGCTATCTCCAGACCGTGTCGGTACAGGTCCCGTACCATGCTGTGATTGGTGTATCTGTCTTTCGCGAACAGCGTGGCTCGGATGGGACACGAATTGGGATTTCTGTAAATCTTCGAAAAGAAATGTTTGTAATACCCGTAGCTGGCTCTGTTCACAGATCCGTCAAACGCAAAGACAACAATCTGAGGAATGTCCTCAGCCGCAAAGCCGCTCGGGGGAGCAGACGAGTTGAGACAGAAACACTGTGGCAGACGACAATTGGAACCCTGAACGCATTGTTCAGCACCAGACGTAGAACCGTGGCACGCTGCTATAAACATCCACAACAGACCCGTCATGTAGAATATGATCTTTAACGTCGACGACATTTTCACATCAACATGTAAAATTCGTCCTTTCTGACTCGTCAGTGTAACCCCTCTGTCAAACCCGCGCCCAAGACGTTAAACAGTCTGAGCGGTTTGTATATATTGCTACCGGTGCATCCGGAGATATGTTCAGGTGACGTGACCAAAGGGCGTTATTGATGTCATGAAATAATGCCTAGGGCTTGGTTCGTGTTCGTCGGCTCATCCTGTTCAGAGCTACACAATAGTCAGATGTAAGTGATTAATAAATCTGCTTGTTACTGTACGAAGATTCATTATAACGTTGCAATTACGTTAAAGAGACTGTAGGTTAATCGGAATTCACAGGTTTATTTACTTTCTGAGTGTGATGACACTCTATCCCTGATTTGATTTTAAATATGATTTTACACTTTAAATCAACGTGAGGCAGATCGTCAGAATCATAGCTTTGTCAACGTGAGACGAGCACCAGAGCCCCAGAGCCCCAGAGCGTTGTCAGTGTGAGAGGGACAGATATTGTCGAGTGGAATCATTGAGGATACAGTGAGTATAAGAGTGTTGTCAATGTGTCAGGTCCTTGATTAAACAGTGTATTATATATTTATTCTTTCATGATAAATACCCTTGATAGGCATACGTCCCTTGACTGTATCAGTTCCTGTTTTCCTGTAAGCACACGCTGCACTATAATTTTCAAATTATTAAATTATTGTCGCGTAAGTGTTTCGTCACCAGTTAGGTCCTCACGGTCACATCTCAATCAACATCTTCTTCATCATCGTCGTCGTCATCGTCATCATCGCTACTATCACCATCACTCATCTACCATCATCAACGCCATCGTCATCTTAATTGTCACAACCGCTACCATCATCATCATCACATCATCATCATCATCATCACGACCGTTCCAACATCATCATCGACATCGTGATCATCATCACATCATCATCATCATCATCATATCATCATCATCATCATCATCACGGCCGCCCCAACATCATCATCACCATCGTGATCATCATCATCATCATCATCATCACCATCATCATCATCATCATCACGACCGACCCAACATCATCATCACCATCGTGGTCATCATCATCATCATCATAATCATTAGCAGCAGCAGCAGCCCCCACCATCACCACCCATCATAATCGTCGTCAACATCATCACGACCGCCAGCACCATCATCACCCATCATCATCTAATGAAGCCGCTTGTCAACTTAACCTGACCAAGTACAAGTGTACCAGTTCCTACATTCATGACGTCACTCATCGCCAACCCATCATCTTGGACATCTAGCGACTTGTCAACCTTCTCTTCAACAATACCCATTAATCTTCCCCGTTACAATCCCGTGCAGCAGTTACAACAAACCACCTATTGGTTACTATCACTTAAACGATGGCATGTAAAATATCCCGGGGGTCTGTCATAAAGGTCAGCAAGTGCTACCCCCACCTCTCTCTCCCCCATCCACCCTCCCTTAACGAGCCCCTCCTTGGTTGAGACAGATCAGTCCGTACATCTCTGGCTATGGCGAAACAAGATGTGCCTTGCAGGGAAAAGAAATTATGCAAAATACACGAGCTACACACTGTGCGTCCTCGGGCGAACAAGCAAGGTATTCCTGTGTTTTTACAGCGCAGTGATATGCCCCGAGGGAAGGCTTCGTCCTCATATATAAAGGGGAACGCCCGGTACGCTCTCGACGTTATATATAACATGTAATGAGGAAGCGACGGAGAGTTTTAATATTTGCATGAGGTACACGTACGTTTTCAACCTCAATATAACTTCTGTCAGAGAAATTCCTATTTTTCCAAATTATGATGAAAATACTAAAAATCATCGTGATTGTTATGATCGTATTAGCATTATTATCACTATTATTGTTATTGCCGTTATCATTATTGTTAGTAGCAAAATTACCATTTGCAAATAGTGTTACTGCTGTTGTTAGTGTGATAATTATCCTAGTGTTATATTTATTATTTTCATAATAATAATTCTATGTCATTATTATTGTTGCTATTAGTATATGCAGATTATTATAAATAAATACAGCAAAGAGGGTTTGGGTGATCCTGGCACAGTCAGGCTGGTTAGGCTCATCATCAGCTCAGGGCCCTTGCCCCCTCTACACGCAGCCCAGACAGCGAATGGGACATTTCCCAGAAAGCGCTGCTAGTCTAACCCACCCAGAACTTTTCGGAGAATGTGAACGCTCCCCAACACTGCAGCCTTCTGCATCACCCAGATTGTCAGAAGGGCTGTATTCCTGGTAGCAAACCCGGGTACTCTTCCAATGTCAGTCAACAGATTGGAAGCTATCAAACCTAAGGCGCCGAGAACAATGGGGAGTCGAACAACTCGATACTTGGGATGCAAGCGTACGCGTGACATGTCGAAAGCTAGGTCCGCATATTTGCCATGTTTTGCCTGAATCTTGTCAATCACGCCAGCGTCGAAGGGACAGAACATTCTATGTATGTTCTAGTTACTTCTTGTTTTGTATGACACTAATTTGATCCTTCGTGACCAACTCGTGTTATTCCGGGACAAGTCTTCTTGCAGGTTACGGAAAAGGGCGAGTGGTGACGAATGTAATTTGATAGATTACTTCGGGGCAAACGTAACAGATAAATATCACATCAGTGTCGGGTATGATTTCTCATTGTCACGCCCTGGGGTCAGTTCCACAAAGCGATCATGGCGCTACGATTGTTTATGTTATGTGTGAGAGTGACAGTCCTCCTGGCACTGTGATCGCGTTGTGGAATGGGATCCTGGTCTTTATATCGAATGGGGTGACGACAACCCTATAAATATAACATAATACTTAATACGTTCAAACCTTTAGTCACTTACATATTAACAGTTTTACCCGCCAAATGTGAGTGAGTGAGTTGGGTTAAACGCCGCTTTTAACAGTACTCAAGTTATATCACGGCGGGTCAGCTTAATGTGGGAGGAAAGCCCGAAGTGATGCAGGTCTCAGACGTTTACCACTTCGGTGAAACCCACGGGCACGGGTTTGGTGCTGACAAACCTAGAAACATAATCGGGGCGAACCGGGATTCGAACCCACAATCATAGGTTTCTGGCGTGCCCAAGGGACGCAACTCTGCACATCGAATCGCGGCGCTTTAGACGACTGGGCCACCCAAATGTGGATTAAGCTCACTTTAGCTCAATTCTTAACCACAATCTTAGCCACATTCGATCACATGGAATCGGAACGTTCTTTGTACGGGAAATTCAATTTTTAATTTTCTCATGAAAATCTAAACCTCTCTGGTGCATTTGGGCGCACTGTTTCGTTTGCATTTGGTTACACACGTGTGTGTGTGTGTGGCTGCTTGTACCAGTCAGGACTAATGTCGATTTTTTAGTAATAGCCCACTGGGGTAGTATGCCGCAGTTTAACATGAATAACCCACTCAGACACACGAGCCGACCAGTCCTTGTTTTAGCCCCTTAATGCCGAGCGCCTGGCAGGGTAACAACAAGTACCATCTTTTTACGTCTTTTTGTATGACGCGGCCGGGGATGGAAACCCGACCTCCGCTCTCAGTGGGGACGCTCTACAATTAGACAGTCACACTTTTTTTATCAATAGCATGTGAGTGGTCTAGTGTGTGTCTTGTGTGTGTCTAGTGTGGGTCTAGTGGTCAGAACGTCTGTCCTGAGAGTCGTAGCAAAAAACGTTAAAAGATGGTACTTGTTTGGCGCTCGACGTTAACACGGACTGGTCAGCTCGGAGTCAGTATACTGTGTCTGATTTGGGTATACATGTTAAACTGCAGCATGGTATCTCAGTGAGCTAGCATATATAGCTACATGTATATATATTAGGAAAAAAATCGTACATCGATTAAAGGATTATGTACGTTGAAACGTCACTTTGGCGTTTACTCCCACATTAAGCTGACACATTGTATGTTTGTTTGTTGTTTAACGCCGCACTCAGCAATATTCCAGCTGTATGACGTAGGACTGTAATCAAGTCAGGACAAGACAATCCAGTGATTGATATCATGATCACCGATTTACGCAATTGGGATACGATGAAATGCAATCAACCAAGTCACCAAGTCTGACCACCCGATCCATTCACTCACTCTTACAACCAGCACCGCCTCCGTGGTCTAGTGGTAGAGCGTCCGCCCGGAGAGCGGAAGGTCCCCGGCCGCGTCGTACCAAAAGACGCTAAAAGATGGAACTTGTTGTTACCCTGTCTGGCGCTCGGCATTAAGGGGCTAAAACCAGGACTGGTCGGCTCGGAGTCAGTATACTGTGTCTGAGTGGGGTATTCATGTTAAACTGCGGCATGGTATCTCAGTGGGATAGCACTATAAATCGGCATCAGTCCGGACTAGTACAAGCAGCCACACACACGTGCATGCACGTCGCTATATAAGTGCAATAATCTTGGACGCGACGTTAAACCCAATTTCACCTCACCTCACCTCACCTCACCTCACAACCAGCAAAGAATCCCCGTGTGCAGCCGCGCTGTAATACTGTTCACGGTGACACTAATTCCCTCACAGCGAGCAAGAGGCGTCTAACGGATAAATAGTTCACGTACTTTTAGCGTAAAGAACATATTTGAAGGAACTTCATTTTCTATAAACGATTATATATATTATTTCGTTTCGAAATTTACTCACAATCTTTTGTTAAAGATGTTTACTTTCTGATTATCTAATGTCACACAATCGAGTATGTGAATGGTCTAGTGTAGGTAAACCAATAGCTTACCATTTGGACAGTCAGATTAAATAATGACTTTAGAAATACCCCACTTTGAAAAAACTTACATACCCTTACATATCCTTAACGATGGGGAGCGGTCGGGTAGCCTAGTGGTTAAAGTGTTCGCTCGTCACGCCGAAGACCCGGGTTCGATTCCCGACATGGGTACAATGCGTGAAGCCCATTTCTGGTGTCCCCCGCAGTGATATTGCTGGAATATTGCTAAAAGCGGCGTAAAACCATACTCACTCACTCACCTTAACGATGACAACGGACAATCTTATTTAAAAAACGTTAAAGCCAGAGCATATTTAGTTGCGATTATCTGACGATACAGATCCCATTGGGCCATCTAAACGGAACTGCGGTTAGAAACATATGAATGGATCGCTGAAGGGGAAGCATGTGCTGTCTTACCTGTAGCACCCGCCACGCACATAATTTGCATAAAATATAAGTTTGTTGTCTGAAGACGAATGTTTAATGTTATGAAACACGTCACGTCACACACGTCACGTCACACACGTCATGCGCAAGAAGGGTTGGCCGATCCTATCTATCTGCATGACATGAAAGGAAAGAACATAGACATACATGCGCTGTGTGTCACAAAGGATACAAGGGGCGGTCGGGTAGCCTAGTGGTTAAAGTGTTCGCTCGTCACGCCGAAGACCCGGGTTCGATTCCCGACATGGGTAAAATGTGTGAAGCCCATTTCTGGTGTCCCCCGTCGTGATATTGATGGAATATTGCTAAAAGCGGCGTATAACCAAACTCACTCACTCACAAAGGATACGATCACCAGGCGACTACGCAACTTGGCGACCCATGAATATCCGGGTAGAATAGGTCTTCAGCAACCCATGCTTGCCGTAAAAGGCGACTATGCTTGTCCTAAGAGGCGACAAATGGGATCGGGTGGTCAGGCTCGCTGACTTAGGTGATGCATGTCATCGTATCCCAATTGCGTGGATCGATGCTCATGGTGTCAATCACCGGTTTGGCTGGTCTTGAGATACCATGCCGCAGTTTAACATGAATACCCCACTCGGACACAGCATACTGACTCCGAGCCGATCAGTCCTTGTATTAGCCCCTTAATGCCGAGCGCCAGACAGGGTAACAACAAGTACCATCTTTTAAGGTCTTTTGGTATGACGCGGCTGGGGATCGAACCTCAGACCTTCCGCTCTGCGGGCGGACGCTCTACCACTAGACCACGGAGGCAGTTGCACCCAAAGAGCAGAGAGACAAGGTCATGGTACGTGAAACTTGTTAATATAGTCACTAGTATGGAAACAACAGCCGATTATGACACCTCGACCAGGCTAGAGGGTTTGATCGTAACAGATAGAAGGCTGGATGTACCCATATCAGAGCAACACGGGGCGATTCGAAGCTTTTTCAATTTGACGTGTTTCTAATCTACTTGCCAAGTGCAGTTTGGATACCTACATTTTTTAGAAGTCGCCTCGTAACACTAGGCAGATGACATAGTGACAGCCTGCCTTTAACAAAATCCACCAACGTATCACATATGTTTGTTTTGTACGCGATACCTTACGCGAACTTTTTTTTCTGTATGTTAATTTACATTCGGTTTTATTCAAGGAATTGTAATTTGAATAAATCACAACACGAGATTTAACTTGAAAAAAATACTAAGCTTATGAAGGATGGGTGCTATTATCCACCAATGGGTGCGCCGCACGCAGCCGGAAGTGACGTACTGTGCTGTTGTGACAATGCTATAATTCAACAAGTAAATAATATATTGCTTCTGTTTTATTCTTTTGACTTTATATCTTTCTTTTTTGTGTATAATGTATCGCTCATTTCTTTGTGCATATTAAATGGGTGCAGTAACCAGGCTCTGCGATCTGATGGCCAGATCGAGTCTAGGTTTAGACGTTTTGATTAGATCAAAGCGTGAAGATAAGAGGTGAGGTGAGGTGAAATGGGGTTTAACGTCGCGTCCAAGATTATTGCACTTATATAGCGACGTGCATGTACGTGTGTGTGGCTGCGGACTGGTGCCGATTTATAGTGCTAGCTCACTGAGATACCATGCCGCAGTTTAACATGAATATCCCACTCAGACACAGTATATTGACTCCGAGCCGACCAGTCCTTTTTTTAGCCCCTTAATGCCGAGCGCCAGGCAGGGTAACAACAGGTACCATCTTTTAACGTCTTTTGATATGACGCGGCCGGGCATCGTACCCCGAACCTTCCGCTCTCCGGGCGGACGCTCTACCACTAGACCACGGAGGCGGTCCGTGAAGATAAGACGTTGTCTCTGCATAATTAGAGTTATGGTTAATCGTTAGAGTAGATTGCCGGGCTACAGAAAGTATACGCCCATGTTTGATGGTGGCTATGAACGAAACAAAATGGTAATTCAATGGTGATGTATTTGATACGGGTATTATAGTTGTGTTTTGGACCTAAGTTTGCAGTGTTTCAGCGACAATTTTCAGCCTAGTAGCGTTTTGAAAACGTTTGTAATTTTGGGGTCAAATGCAATTTTCAAGTGTATTTTTATACAGACGGGAGACCTTGCAGATGTAGTTTCGGCAATGACATTGTCTTTCTATCTACGCAGGGGCGGTCGGGTAGCCTAGTGGTTAAAGCGTTCGCTCGTCACGCCGAAGACCCGGGTTCGATTCCCGACATGGATACAATGTGTGGAGCCCATTTCTGGTGACCCCCGCCGTGATATCGCTGGAATAAAGCGGCGTAAAATCATACTCACTCACTCACTCACTATCTACGCAACTACGTCAGAAATATATATTGTAGGTAAATACGTTATGAAAAGAAACGTCCGTAAAATATGTTATATTTCTCATCAGAGTAAGTTCACGCCGTTTCATTAGTACATCTCTGGGACTTACAAGAAACGGTCTTCACACATTGTAAGGCCAAATACGTTATGAAAGAATGTCCGTAGAATACGTAACTATATTCTTGCTAAGAGTGAGCGAGGATGGTGAATATAAGCTTCACACGGTCGGGAATTGGCTGTGCAGAGTTGCGTCCCTTAAGCCTGCAGCTTCCGGTTCGCCCTGATTGTGATTACCAGCCTTGGCTTGTCAGGACCAAATCCCCATTGTAGGTTTCATCGAAGACATGAGCGTCTACTGGCATCGCTTTGTCGCACAATAACCTTACACGTCGCAAATACTGTGAACCACATGGCGAATATTTTAAAAAATCGGCCAACTCGATTATATCATTTGGAAGTGCTGAATGTGACCCATTGTTACACTGGATACTAGGGTGACTATTGGTCTGGAAATCACTATTGCGATAACAATTGATAGTGAAAGAAACTATTGTGATAACTATTGATATTGCAAGCAACTATTGGGATAAATAGCGATATTTTTCAGTGTATCATTTTAGATGGATTTTAGAGTTGAATTAAACCTTGGAACTGAAGTTTCCTTTGAATGTGATAACCATAACAACAAATAAAAGGTAATGTTTGAGATATGACTGATTGTATTTTCTTTACCCTAATAATTTAAGATAAAGAAACTGCCACATTACCATGTGTAAATTACTACCACTCATGATCAAAAGAAAAAATGGACAAATTTGAAAAGCATTGCATGTACATGTATTTTATTGAAACTGTAAAACTATGGTAAATAGTAAAAAATACAATCGAAACTATCGAAACAAGCACATTGTAACACTGGATACCGTACATAGTGAGATTATCAAGCATATTGTAACACTGGATACCGTACGTGGTGAGATTATCAAGCATATTGTAACACTGGATACCGTACATAGTGAGATTATCAAGCATATTGTAACACTGGATACCGTACATAGTGAGATTATCAAGCATATTGTAACACTGGATATCGTACATGGTGCGATTATCAAGCATATTGTAACACTGGATACCGTACATGGTGAGATTATCAAGCATATTTGTAACACTGGATACCGTACACGGTGTGATTATCAAGCATATTGTAACACTGGATACCGTACATAGTGAGATTATCAAGCATATTGTAACACTGGATACCGTACATGGTGTGATTATCAAGCATATTGTAACACTGGATACCGTACATAGTGAGATTATCAAGCATATTGTTGCACTGGATACCGTACATGGTGCGATTATCAAGCATATTGTAACACTGGATATCGTACATAGTGAGATTATCAAGCATATTGTTGCACTGGATACCGTACATGGTGCGATTATCAAGCATATTGTAACACTGGATATCGTACATAGTGAGATTATCAAGCATATTGTTGCACTGGATACCGTACATAGTGTTGTTATTATTATGCATATTGTTGAACAGTTACCTTATATTGTGATTATCATGCACATTGTTGCATTGGTTACCTTACATAGTGTGATTATCATGCATAATGTTACACACCTTACACTACTGAATAAACTACTACTACTACTACTACTACTACTACTACTACTACTACTACTACTACTACTACTACCACTGAAAATACCAGTTTTTACCCTGAGTTTTCAATTGAAAATCAAATATATAACAAAATCAACCGACATTTGGACATCGTACGAGTTGTGTCTTACAATGAATAAAAACACCTTCAGCAATTAGTCATCCAAAACAGATGACTGCTTACCCTGAGTTCCCGTCTGAGCCCGTGGGGCTGACGCATATGTGGACTGTCTTGGAGTGACCCAGGGGCAACAACAGCCCCAGACACAGAGCGACTACCCACGCCATTGCTTGGTTTCAAGTGTCACAGTCACATAACATATCGGCCCTTTTACATAAAAGAATAGCTTACCCTGAGTTCCCGTCTGAGCCCTTGGGGCTGACGTAGATGTGGACTGTCTTGGAGTGACCCAGGGGAACAACAGCCCCAGACACAGAGCGACTACCCACGTCATTGCTTGGTTTCAAGTGTCACAGTCACATAACATATCGCCCTTTTACATAAAAGAATAGCTTACCCTGAGTTCCCGTCTGAGCCCGTGGGGCTGACGTAGATGTGGACTGTCTTGGAGTGACCCAGGGGCAACAACAGCCCCAGACACAGAGCGACTACCCACGTCATTGCTTGGTTTCAAGTGTCACAGTCACATAACATATCGCCCTTTTACATAAAAGAATAGCTTACCCTGAGTTCCCGTCTGAGCCCTTGGGGCTGACGTAGATGTGGACTGTCTTGGAGTGACCCAGGGGAACAACAGCCCCAGACACAGAGCGACTACCCACGTCATTGCTTGTACCAAGGGATGGTTTTATGTTACACTGACGTGAATGAGCATTTGGGCATTGTTGACCCCGCCTGGAGATAATACTGCATGCATGTTGTCCCGATTATTAAACCCTGGTTGTGTGACGGAGCCCATTGTAGAGAAATATTTAAAACGCCTGTCTGCGTTTTGCCATGCGGATCTCTGGGTTTACTTGCGATATCTAGTATGCAATATATGCAATCAAGTAAAGGCACAGCAAATTGATTATTTGCCTACCTGAATGCAATATCAAATATCGCGATAATTATCGTCCTACAAATCATCGCGAATTCAATTATCGCACAAAATATCAATGTGCACAACTGTCATGTATAATATAACTTTATACAATCGCCATACTCAATCGTCATACAAATAATTATTATCACGATACAAAATATTGCAATACACATTCGCCTTACAAAATACTGCACAATACAAACTATCGGTATGCATGACCTACATTTGTCAATGACACACATAGATACTCTTGAATCCTGATTTGTTTTAGTCGTTAGTGGTTGGTTGCTCGGTTGGTTGGTTTGTTGTTTTACGCCATACTCAGTAATATTTCAGCTATATGACGGCGGTCTGTAAATAATCGAGTCTGGACCAGACAATCCAGTGATTGACATCATGGGTTCGATCCACGCAGTTGGGATCGATGACATGTATCAACCAAGTCAGGAGCCTGACCACCCGATCCCATTAGTCGCCTTTTACGACAAGCATAGTCGCCTTTTTACGGCAAGCATGGGTTGCTGAAGACCTATCCAACCCCGGATCTTCACGGGTTAGTGAGTTTGTGAGTGAGCTAGTGAGTGAAGGTCGTTTAATGCCATAGTCAGTGATATATCGCCTATACCACTACAGCCCGTACACAGTAAAGTCATGATCAGACAATCCTGCGAATGTAAGCATGACCAACGATTATTTCCGTCGGGTGCGATGTCACCCATTCTAACGTCCTTTAACTTTTCACATTTACCACATTTCGTACAGAGTCATTTTTTTACTACGGAACCTTGTATAACAACGCTCAAGGCAAAGCAGTAAGCCCGGCCGACCAGTGCATGTAGACAGACGTGCAGGTGATGTTGCAGCGAATGATGTCACGGCCACCGTCGAAGCTGGTTGAATGTAATTGTTGACGATGGGTATGAATAAAATAATGTTGTCGTGGAAACAGGATGAATCGTAATTATCTGTAAATAGTGTTGTAAAGTGTTGCCAGTGATTTAGTAACACATCAATGGACACATTGCCATGTTCCATGTGTTGTGATCTGTTTGCAATATGGAACATAACCGTTAACTTCTCCCGAGATTCCGATTGTAGCGAAACTTGTGTTTTATATAATTAGGGGTTAGGTTTAGGGCTAGGGTTTGGTTATATGTGTTTTTCTTCACCTTATTGACGATTTGCATACATTGAAAACCATTCCACGACGAACACATCGCCAATAACCGCTCATCCATATATCATTCGGTTATCAGAAATTTCATAATACCATGAACTGAAGATAATGTAGTAATGAATGTACAAGACTATAATTCAGAGATTTGGTGAACGGAATAGAATCGCAAAATATGAAAATTGATCAGACAAGATTAATTCTGTTTACCCAACAGAAATGAAGAAACACACGATTTCAACCATATTCGTGATTGTTTTTTTTCCGGTTGCAAACAAACAGCAACGAAACAATCTTTAAATCTTTACATTTTGTTATTAGTTGCATCCATTTGATTGTTTGTTTGATTCCTTGTTTAATTATCTCAATGAATGAGTGAGTGAGTTGGGTTTAACGCCGCTTTTAATAGTATTCCAGTTATATCGCGACGTGTCAGCTTAATGTGGGAGGAAAGCCCGAAGTGATGCAGGTCTCAGACGTTTACCACTTCGGTGAAACCCACGAGCACGGGTATGATGCTGACAACCTAGAAACATAATCGGGGCGAACCGGGATTCGAACCCACAATCATAGGTTTCTGGTGTGCCCAAGGGTCGCAACTCTGCACAGCGAATCGCGGCGCCTCAGACGACTGGGCCACCCGTGCTCCCATCTCAATGAATGAGTCAGTGAGTGAGTGAATGAAGGTTGTTCTCGGATCACTCTTCGAGATATCTTGAACGCCACAAGTTCTATTATAAAGATAAGGATTCATTCATTCACTGACAAAAAAACCCGGTCAGTCAAGAGGGCCTTTCTTCTTTCGAACCAATCTACATTCAATATTTCTTCATGTGGTACAAACAATTTACAAAACATGTCCCATTTTTTATCCTGAACTAAATCCAACTTTACACTTAACACATACTGAAGACCCTTTGAAGACCATGTCAGACAACATCTATTGCATTGAATGTACCCTTTGTGGATGGACTTTTGTTGGATAGGCAACAAACAATATCGAAACGAATCAGCCATCGGGTATCAACAGAAATGTTTCCAATGGTGTCTACCAACAATTTGATTCTGAAATTCACTCCATCCTTTGCATGAAAGTTAGGATTTTCCATCTATCAGAAAGTCTTAGATGCACTCGACCTTATAGTATGTCGGGGGAAAATCAATCAAACCCACATGGAATTAATTACAAAATAACAGACGTTGGCGGTCTTTCTAATCTGTCTGTTTCAAGCGTCCCAAATAGGCAGCCGTGGTCACACGAAAGAATGAGGTGAGGTGAGGTGAAATGGGGTTTAACGTCGCGTCCAAGATTATTGCACTTATATAGCGACGTGCATGTACGTGTGTGTGTTTGTGTGGCTGCTTGTACTAGTCCGGACTGATGCCGATTTATGGTGCTAGCTCACTGAGATACCATGCCGCAGTTTAACATGAATACCCCACTCAGACACAGTATACTGACTCCGAGCCGACCAGTCCTTGTTTTAGCCCCCTTATCCCGAGCGCCAGACAGGGTAACAACAAGTACCATCTTTTAACGTCTTTTGGTACGACGCGGCCGGGTATCGAACCCCGGACCTTCCGCTCTCCGGGCGGACGCTCTACCACTGGACCACGGAGGCGGTCCACGAAGGCCAATTGATACCATCCTTTTGAAACATTCGTTGCCCCTCCTTCGGGATGCATTTGGGTTGCACAACGTAAAATTGTTCTCTGTATCGTTGAAAGAAATCAAACGACTCCAGCAACTTTTGCTGATGGAATGGTCGACAAAATAAGAGCCCACAGTATCGACTTGAGAGTATGGTTATGGCTATTGCTTAGAACCTTTTGCCAAACCAGAAACAGATACAACTAAGACTTTATCTTAGTCATCAACTGATTACCCACCCGAGCTAGAAATAAAAGATCTTTTTCATACTTAGATCTATTCTTAACTATCCATTTTCTGTGTGTATTGCTAAGGAATAGCGTTGTTGCTTTTTGGTTTTGTGTCACACCCTCGTGCCCACGAAAATCATAAGCTTTGGATTAGTACGCAGTAGTTTGAATTACATCACGGCACGTGCAATACAATGATAAGAATAACGACGTCTGACCAGAGCCGTGGAGATCCGGGTTAGGATAGGTCTTCAGCAACCCATGCTTGCCGTAAAAGGCATCTATGCTTGTCGGAAGAGGCGACTAACGGGATCGGGCGGTCAGGCTCGCTGACTTGGTTGATGCATGTCATCGTATGCGAATTGCGTTGATCGATGCTCATGATGTCAGTCACTGGATTGTCTGGTCCAGACTCGATTTTTTACAGACCGCCGTCATATAGCTGAAAAAATGCTGAGTGCGGCGTTAAACAAGAAACCAACCAACACACAACAACGTCTGAGAAAGTACCACCCTACAGCTACTGAAGTGTTCCTGACCCCGAGTTCCCGTCTGAGCCCGTGGACCTTCCATAGATGTGGACTGTCTTGGAGTGACCCAGGGGCAACAACATCCCAAGATACAGCACTAACTCTTACGTCATCGCCGGTAGCGATGTATTTGTGGGTGGCACTGGCGTCAATAGAAAGGACAACATGTCCTTGACCTAGTGGTGTGCCGGGAGAGCCTCAGTGTATAAACTGGTGCATTAATAGCCTCTACACCCTACAGACCTAACAGCGTATATGCTCTCCATGCAACCATATTCACAAACAGTAGTCATTATATTAATAGCATACATTCAGACGATAATGATGTTTGTTGGTTATGATATGTTATATGTGTTGTATTTTGTTCCTAAAGCCCGTTTAGAGAGATCCTTTAAGCAACAATTCAGGAGTGAACTTTTTGTTGCTTTCGTTGTTGTTTTCTGTTGAAGTAGCTGGTTACATCAATTACAGAACGCAACTAGCTTTCTAGAAACGTATGCGTGTTACACTTATAACTGATTGTTCAAAAGGCTTTCTGATTAATACTTTTCAGCTACAAATGAACTATTTATATCGTATCGTATCATACAATCGACTCAGCTTTTTAGAGGAGTGAGTTGGGTTTACAGCTGCTTTTAACAGTATTCCAGTTATATCACGGCGTGTCAGCTTAATGTGGAAGGAAAGCCCGAAGTGATGCAGGTCTCAGACGTTTACCACTGCGATGCAACCCACGGGCACGGGTATGGTGCTGACAAACCTAGAAACATAATCGGAGCGAATCGGGATTCGAACTCACAATCATAGGTTTCTGGCGTGCCATAGGGACGCAACTCTGCACAGCGAATCGCGGCGCCTTAGACGACTCGGCCACCCGTGCCCCCTTCATATAAATACGATGTATTATTTTTTACAATATTAGTTGACATAACTAAGCAAATATGCTATTTAAGTAAGCCGTTATATAGAGTTCCCAATCTTATCTACCGACACATTAAGCTGAAGAATAATCCAACACGTAATAATATCAGTAAAAACCAGTTTCTTGTATCTCTAAGGAGATCAAGGCCAAGTTCTCCACCTGCTTCTTCCCGCCCATTGCACGTGCATAGGACTCGTATAATCTTCAACACTGTGACACTTGAAACCAAGCAATGACGTGGGTAGTCGCTCTGTGTCTGGGGCTGTTGTTGCCCCTGGGTCACTCCAAGACAGTCCACATCTACGTCAGCCCCAAGGGCTCAGACGGGAACTCAGGGTAAGCTATTCTTTTATGTAAAAGGGCCGATATGTTATGTGACTGTGACACTTGAAACCAAGCAATGACGTGGGTAGTCGCTCTGTGTCTGGGGCTGTTGTTCCCCTGGGTCACTCCAAGACAGTCCACATCTACGTCAGCCCCAAGGGCTCAGACGGGAACTCAGGGTAAGCAGTCATCTATTTTAGATGACTAATTGCTAAAGGTGTTTTTATTCATTGTAAGACACAACTCGCACGATGTCCAAATGTCGGAACAGAAATTAGATCTCATAAACCGAGGAGCAAAGGAAACTATACCTATCTGTTGATTTTGTGATTTGTTTGATTTTCAATTGAAAATATCTTAAAAAGAAAACTGGTTTATTGCTTATAGCGACGTTTTCTATGTAGATTCTTACACCGTTATCAAGCTGGAGTGACAACAACCAAGTGATGAGAGGTACAGTCGAAACTCGTTGTGTCGAACTTGGATGTGTCGAATTTCCGGTTTGTCGAACTCATTTCGGAGACCCAAGTATTCAAATTAAGCATAAACTTTCCCTGATGTTTCGAACCCCGGATAACTCGAACTTTTTCAGGTCCCCACGAGTTCGACACAACGGGGTGCGACTCTATATGTACATGGTATGTTTGATAAGCAGCAGATTAACATTAACAACAATAGACTTGGTAACGGTGTAAGCATCTTCATCCAAACGTCGCTATATGCAATAAACAAGAACTTGTTATCCATAAAATCTTCGATACTATACTCGTGCAGCCTTGTCAAACGTAACTCACTGCTGTTCGCCGACGATGAACACAGCATTTTTGCATACATTAGTAACATTGTATTATTGTTTTGAAATTCCAGTGTTTAAGGTGTAAGCATGATATCTAAACATTGGAATAGCAAATGTCAGGTATAGTAATAAATATACACATTGGAAGCTGTCAAATTACGAATGCAGTGCTATATTCAAGGTGTCACCTCGCACAGAACAGCTGCTGTCTACATTACATATATAGCGACATAACCCTTCCCATATCCAATAGAAATCTCTGCATAAAGCAGAGACGAGTGTACGATTCCGACTATATCATAAGCACATGTGTATGAATCACTCTCAAATAGTAATGATACCAGGTGTTCCCCACCGATCCCACCCGTCACAAACACATGCAAAGGCAAGTCAATTGTTCACAGGAAAAAACACGAGAACATGTGGTACAAGTCAAAATAGGGAATTGCATAGAACATCATTTTTGTCACTGATGCATCACTTTTGGAAATGTCCTCTACAGGTCTACCAGAAGAATATATTTAGATTCTGATTGCAAATACGAGGCACCAAAAGGAACCGCACACATGAGTTTCATATTCACAGTTTCTTTAGGTTCTTAGTATATGTATACTTGCAGAGCATATTGAGTATAGCTCAGCCACATCATACATTTATCACGACTGATCACCTAGAACACAAAACATCTGATCAAACATTAACTGACCATCTCGTTTTCTTTGTGACTGATATGTTTGATATAAATCTTGTACAGTGTTGTGTAGACCCAGATCCCTCGGTAAAATAACCCGACGATACCGAGATCGGGTGGTTCGAATGTTGTGGTTGCTCGTGCTATCTACCACCTGTGCCATGTCTTGATCACTTTCAATATCACCTCCTCAGAGAGTTTACTACTATGGTGAAGCAAACGAGCACGGGTATGATGCTGACAGACCTAGAAACATAAAAAAAAATGGAATAGGAACCACCTCCCACCCCCTCACACACACACACACACACACACACACACACACACACACACACACACACACACACACACACACACACACACACACACACACACACACACCACCCCAAACACCACCACCACCACACACATACACACACACCCCACACCCCACCACCCACACATACACACACTACACCCCAAGCACATACACACACACCACCCCAAAGGCGAAGGTACTGATCACAATTTTGAATAAGTGATGTTATATAGTGCTTCCTAATGTTTATAGTCATAATGCCCTGAAACCGTGCCTTGTAATTAGGTTGGATGCGTCCCACCCGGTTGCCACCCTGGACAAGGCCAGGCAGTTACTGGACAGCAGTGGGATCAAGGACAACAGTGAGTAGGTTCTGCAGCTCACCTTTCAGAATGTTGTGTACATGAAATAATGTTATATATTTTAAGACTGTGTTGCTGTATCAAACATGTATTCCATAGAATGTAACTTTATTCCTTCAACACTTCTTTCGTCCCCGCAGCGGTGTACGTGGAGCTGATGGGAGGCTACCACAACTTGCAGTCCACCCTACACTTCACCCACGCCTACTCCCAGCCTGTCACCTTCAGAGCCTACCAGGACCAGGAGGTCCACGTGGTGAGTAGAGACACGTGGTGAGTGGGGAGGTCCACGTGGTGAGTAGAGACACGTGGTGAGTGGGGAGGTCCACGTGGTGAGTAGAGACACGTGGTGAGTGGGGAGGTCCACGTGGTGAGTAGAGACACGTGGTGAGTTGGGACACACGTGGTGAGTCTAGATACAACTCGTGAGTGACAAGATCCATGTAATGAGTTGTTACATACGTTGTAAGTTGGGAGCTCACCGTGGCGAGTGACGAGGTCCGCTTGGTGTGTGTAGAGGTCCACTTTGTGAGTGGGAGGTCCACGTGGTGAGTATCCACAGAGCAGATGATTTAATAAACTCACTATTGTCTTCTGCTCCGATAGTTCATGTTCTCCCCTGTCAAGACGTTAAAGGTGAAGTATGATGGGTTGCAGAACGATCGAGTCGAATCCCCATCAATTATAATTATCCGAATATAAGCTAAGATATGCACCTTCAGGGCGAGGCAACGGTTCCTTCTTCTCGTTCTCAGCATGATTAATGTACTGACGTTCGGTTCTAGTTGAACACAATAAAAGGCAACACATTTACCTTCAGTGTGATATTATTGTCACAGGCACATAACGTTCATAATCTTTTTCTGTTGTGGGGGCGGTCGGGTAGCCTAGTGGTTAAAGCGTTCGCTTGTCACGCCGAAGACCCGGGTTTGATTCCCGACATAGGTACAATGTGTGAAGCCTTTTTCTGGTGTCCTCCGCCGTGATCTTGCTGGAATATTGCTAAAAGCGGCGTAAGACCATTTTCACGCACTCACTCACTCACTCACTCACTCACTCACACACTCACTCTTCTGTTGTGACGTCACCAGACAGGAGGCAAGAAGATCCCAGCAAACCTGTTTACCCACGTGACAGACAGCAACGTGCTGAATATGCTGCCATCAAATTCAAGGTCCAAAGTAGGTTGAATAATTATACAGTCATTCTTGTTCAGTCAACCTTGATTATTTTGGATTTTTGATGATGTCCATCATATTCGTTATCACATGAACACTTACATTAAAGCCTCGTATTGTTAGACTGTAATCAGCATGTAACTTTGTGCAAAACTGATCCCACCGTGGATGTTGCATTAGAATAATTACTCAAAGGAAAAACACCATACAGCTGTATACAAGCCTTAAAATGGCTTAAGTACCAGATTTTGTTTGAATGGTTATTTAAGTGTAGATTTAGTTGACTAGTTTGATCATGAGTACACACGTACTGTAAGTCGTGAAATTAATGCGTCGCCAAAAGAATGCGACCGCTGGCCCCTAACCAAGAATGCGACACAATATGAATGCGACACCCCCTCCTCTCAAGCATCAGTGGATTTATATATAAAGAAAATGTCTTCTGTTAGGTTTACAGGAGAATCCTCACCTTAATCCAACCTTGCATTATTCCAATCACACACCAAATAGCACCGCTTATTAGCGCTGAGTAGGGTACTTCCGCTAAAACAATACATAGTGTTTTCCTAAGAAGAGCAGATACTTTTTGTGTATTTCATCTGAAGCGCATGGATACTGTTATTTCAATCATCTCTTTTTTTGTGCTATAAACATACTTGACATTTACTTAACATTGTCTCATAATATACAATTATACTGATCTCACCAGACTAGCCCTGAAGGCTTTGACGAGTCAGTTACCACATTTTGGCTGGCACAGATTCGCACTGATAATGAATCATTGTTTGTAAGCATCATTCGATTCCCCACATGGGTACAATGTGTGAAGCCCGTTTGTTGTGTCCTCCGCCGTGATATTGTTGGAATATTGCTAAAAGCGGCGTAAAACCATATATTTTTCGTTGGTTTCGTTTAGTAGCAAAGATTTGTAACCTCCGTCGCTTTCGATTGTGAGCTGACATGAATGCAGAAATAGGTCCAAAGGCAGTGTCTAACCACCCATTTCGTTAAGCCACAACAATTCTCATTACCAAGTCAGGAGGCATACACCCATGCAGCTATCCACGCCCGCAGAGCTTTGTAACAAACGATCTGGGCTGGTCTTGGTCTTCTATTATAGGTGATGCAGGTGCATCTACCTAGTGCAGGCGTCACTAACTACGGCAAGATGACCAACTTTGGCTTCTACCGCTCACGGACTGCTTGGCTGGAGATCTTCATCAACGGGGAGCCAGCCAGATTGGCCCAGTACCCTAATGAGGTAGGAGGGTAGGAAGGGAGAGCCAGATTGGCCCAGTACCCTAATGAGGTAGGAAGGGAGAGCCAGATTGGCCCAGTACCCTAATGAGGTAGGAAGGTAGAGCCAGATTGGCCCAGTACCCTAATGAGGTAGGAAGGTAGAGCCAGACTGGCCCAGTACCCTAATGAGGTAGGAAGGTAGGAAGGTAGAGCCAGATTGGCCCAGTACCCTAATGAGGTAGGAAGGTAGGAAGGTAGAGCCAGATTGGCCCAGTACCCTAATGAGGTAGGAAGGTAGAGCCAGATTGGCCCAGTACCCTAATGAGGTAGGAAGGTAGAGCCAGATTGGCCCAGTACCCTAATGAGGTAGGAAGGTAGAGCCAGATTGGCCCAGTACCCTAATGAGGTAGGAAGGTAGGAAGGTAGAGCCAGATTGGCCCAGTACCCTAATGAGGTAGGAAGGTAGGAAGGTAGAGCCAGATTGGCCCAGTACCCTAATGAGGTAGGAAGGTAGAGCCAGATTGGCCCAGTACCCTAATGAGGTAGGAAGGTAGAGCCAGATTGGCCCAGTACCCTAATGAGGTAGGAAGGTAGAGCCAGATTGGCCCAGTACCCTAATGAGGTAGGAAGGTAGGAAGGTAGAGCCAGATTCGCCCAGTACCCTAATGAGGTAGGAAGGTAGAGCCAGATTGACCCAGTACCCTAATGAGGTAGGAAAGTAGAGCCAGATTGGCCCAGTACCCTAATGAGGTAGGACAGTAGAGCCAGATTGGCCCAGTACCCTAATGAGGTAGGAAGGTAGAGCCAGATTGGCCCAGTACCCTAATGAGGTAGGAAAGTAGAGCCAGATTGGCCCAGTACCCTCATGAGGTAGGAAAGTAGAGCCAGATTGGCCCAGTACCCTAATGAGGTAGGAAGGTAGAGCCAGATTGGCCCAGTACCCTAATGAGGTAGGAAAGTAGAGCCAGATTGGCCCAGTACCCTAATGAGGTAGGAAAGTAGAGCCAGATTGGCCCAGTACCCTAATGAGGTAGGAAAGTAGAGCCAGATTGGCCCAGTACCCTAATGAGGTAGGATGTAGGGCCAGATTGGCCCAGTACCCTAATGAGGTAGGAAGGTAGAGCCAGATTGGCCCAGTACCCTAATGAGGTAGGAAAGTAGAGCCAGATTGGCCCAGTACCCTAATGAGGTAGGAAAGTGGAGCCAGATTGGCCCAGTACCCTAATGAGGTAGAATGTAGAGCCAGATTGGCTCAGTCCCCTAATGAGGTAGAATGTAGAGCCAGATTGGCCCAGTACCCTAATGAGGTAGGAAGGTAGAGCTAGATTGGCCCAGTACCCTAATGAGGTAGGAAGGTAGAGCCAGATTGGCCCAGTACCCAAATGAGGTAGGAAGGTAGAGCCAGATTGGCCCACTACCCCAGTGAGGTAGGAAGGTAGGAAAGTAGAGCCAGGTTGGCTCAGTACCCTAATGAGGTGGGAAGGTAATGCCAGATTGGCCCAGTACCGTAATGAGATAGGAAGGTAGAGCCAGATTGGCCCAGTACCCTAATGAGGTAGGAAGGTAGAGCCAGATTGGCCCAGTACCCTAATGAGGTAGGAAGGTAGAGCCAGATTGGCCCAGTACCCTAATGAGGTAGGAAGGTAGAGCCAGATTGGCCCAGTACCCTAATGAGGTAGGAAGGTAATGCCAGATTGGCCCAGTACCCTAATGAGGTAGGAAGGTAGAGCCAGATTGGCCCAGTATCCTAATGAGGTAGGAAGGTAGAGCCAGTTTGGCCCAGTACATTAATGAGGTAGGAGGGTAGAGCCAGATTGGCCCAGTACCCTAATGAGGGAGCGCCAGGCACATGACAGCAAGTTATTGTATATAACACTGTGTGATTTCTGTGGGTGTAACAATATCACCAGGCAATAGCGTCTCTAAAAAAGGTCATTGGCGATTGTATTTTGTGATTCTATTTTTGTGATACTCCAACTAGAGGTTCTCTCACAATGACTTAGAAATAGGTAAATTACACAGTTTCGCACTGACATTTTGTTATTTTTTTCTTCAGAAATTCCTGAACGTCGACTCTGTTCCTGGTGGCAGGCGTGGCAAGGTCTTCACCTACAGCACACACGAAGACTCCAGATGGGTGCACGAGAAGGAACCATGGGCTTACGGCTTCTGGTAAACTGCAACATGACCTTAGAGTAACGAATTGTAAAACAATGCAGTCAATAATATCAACCATACCCTGCTATTTCGAATAAGAACGGCTCAGTGAATAAAGTGTTGATGCTTTGCCTGTGGACATAGCACGATGTGATAAGATTGAGTGCCACATGGGTTGTGATCCATCCATTTTTTGTCCAAGTCCCGTGAAGGGACATATTTTACGCATGACCGGACACTGGCCCATTTGGTACACCAGTGTAGCAGCCAAAACATTTCCGAGTCCGTTGATGAGATTCGAACCACGGACCCTCTATCCGAGGTCGGACGCCTTGTCTACATGACCAAACAGGTTAACCCCATCAGCAAACTGACAAAGGATGCTATCAGGGGGATGTATCCACGCCTTGTTACACGATGTTACCAGTCTTCTTAATATATAGTGTCCAGGGGCCCGTTCCACAAAGCCATCTTAGCGCTACGACTGACGTAAGTCTATGTTAAAGTATGGGAGTTACGATCGTCTTAGCGCTACGAACGCTTTGTGGAACGGGGCCCAGAATTGGCTGGCATTTTGAGGAATCGGTTGAGTGGTCTTGTTTGAGTTTGATGCCGTCATTGGTTTTTGGTTATATGTTGGTTATAAGAATGACACCAGAAGGTGTAAGCCATTCACATCTTTTCAAGCCTGCTACATTTACAGGTACTGGAGCTGGGCGGACGATGCTGCAAGGATCAGTCACATCGACACCCACAAACATCAGATCACTCTGGCAAATGATACACACTATGGACTCCGAGTTGGTCAGTTTGAGCTAAGTGCCTTACAATGTATACTTCTCCGTCTTTAATTACTTTAATACTAATTATATTATATAGAGAAGTATTTGCTGAAGTTTTGCTCATTATAACAATTGAATCAATGTCATTTTATGTCACGTTTTTTCACTTTTGACTATTCATGCATATAACATGTCGTTCTCTTCACACAGAAAAGCTCTCTCGCGTGTCATTGGAAATAAATAAATTATTCTGTAATTACCTGTTTCTTCTTTAAACTTGTTTATTGAGACAAGGCCTTTACCCAGACAAAAATCAGACATTGCATAAAGTGTTGTTATTTTTTGTCCAGGTCATTACAATCCGGCCCATCTGGCCGGGTACAGCACTCAGGGCGGGTACTTCCGGGTATTCAACATGCTCTCAGAGCTAGATCAGCCGGTGAGAAGAACACCCCCCTTCTATTTATCAGAAATGTATTCTGTGTCTGTCACTGCCATGACATTCTTGAAAATATGTTGACAGTGGCAAGCGATTATTCACATCACTTGCCGTTGTTAATCTGATGTAGGTTCATGTCTAGCGTTATCCTTCTCTACAGGGAGAGTACTATCTGGACCGGTCCAATGGCAACTTGTACATCTGGCCCAACACAAAGACGGGCACCTTGGCCTCTTCTGACGATATCACCGTGTCTCTCATCAACGACTGCATCAGGCACGTGTTTTCGTCAACTCGAAAGGGCAAAGTTTCGTATTTACCAAATTGACAATAGCTTATACATAAATATAAGTTGCATACGTTCCATATGACTTCACGCAGCCCAGATAGTAAGAACGAGATGCTCAGCATCTCTATAGTTTGTTTACTAGTTCAGCTTTGAGCAGATCAAAATGTAAATTTCAGATACAAAAAGAGTTTTCAATATGATATATGTACCTTTGTTCTCTGGCAGCATGGACCGAGGTGTGGGAAACCTCAATTTTGAGGGGTTTACTTTGGAGGTGTGTCGCCACGAGGGCATCAGAGGAGACGGTCTACACAACATTAACATTCAAAACATGGACATTAAAAATTTGGGTGAGTTTCATGAGTAGAGACTACGTTTCGACAAGTATAATTGAGTCAAAATGAGCTAATAAGGGTAGTCGCGAAGAATAATGACATGATGGAAGAAGACTACAAAAGTTTGGGGAGCTTCATGACGCGACTATTTAGTCCACCGTCATATAGCTGGAATATTGCTGAGTGCAGCGGTACTGTTATATCAAAGACAGATACAAACGCATGCATATTTACATCAAGAAAAACGTTTTGTATATCGATCACAGTTTTGCCTTCCCTACTTTGTTTAAGTTAATATTAAAGTACGAATTATTATCATCATCACCATACCATCACCATCACCTTCTTCATTATCATCATCATCATTACCACCACCACCACAACCACCATCAGCATCATCATCATCATTATCACCAGCATCATCATCACCACCATTATCATCATCACCACCACCACCATCATCATCATCATCAACATCACGTCATCATTATCATCATCATCATCATCATCACCATCACCATCATTATCATCATCATCACCATAATCATCACCACCATTATCATCATCACCACCACCACCATCATCATCAACATCACATCATCATCATCATCATCATCATCTTCATTATTATAATTATAATGATTATTATTTTTATCAGGTTCGTATGGCGTCCACATCACCGGAAGTAGCCATATTGTTATATCCCGGTGTAATATCCATTACACCAACGGAGGTGTCGCGATCAATGGTAACACAACAATTCACTGATTTTACTCTGTTATAGATCTTTTGTATGGTGCGATTGATTATTAATCATTGTATTAATTATTGGTTAAATAATCCAGTCTCATATGCGAAGACCATTTTCTTATACAGGCCGCGCCAATAGCATTGCTGAAAGAATTTAGAAGTTGATACCTCTACCCGAGGATTTCTGGTGTCTGTTGTTACCGATTTCTTCATTTGTAAATTTTCAGGTGGCAACCAGAAGACGCTTGTGTCTTCAGGAAATATAGTCGAAGACAACCATATTTGGATGGTGGCCCGTGTCGGTGCTGTTGGATACAATGCTGTGTCTATCGGGGGCGTTGGCAACGTTGTCCGCTACAACCACCTGCACGACGGTCAATACACAGGGTTGATGTGGGGGGTATGCGAAACGTTAATTGAACATATTTTTGTCTTCTTTGATAGTCATTTAGAAGTTGGAGTACTAAGAAAGGATAACAATTTATTGATGAACAACTTCTTTATTACACTTAAAAAAGACGTTTCGGTGTAGGTTCTAACACTGTTATCAAGCAAGTGAAACCAACAGCCTAGAGAGTAAGGATAACAACTTATGAATGAACAACATCTTTATTACAATTAAGAGCGACGTTTAGGTGAAGGTTCTAACACTGTTATCAAGCAAGTGAAACCAACAGCCTACAGAGTGAGCATAACAATTTTTGGATGAACAACTTCTTTGTTACAATTAAGAGCGACGTTTCGGTGTAGGTTCACTTGCTTAATAACGGTGTTAGAACCTACACCAAAACGTCGCTCTTAATTGTAATAAACAAGTTGCTCATGCAGGTGTAGGAATACATAATGTGGCGTGATATGAATCAGGTGATCGTATAATTTATGCACAAAACTTGGCACGCCTACACAGTCAGTAGCCAATGAAAGGAGAGTAGGATCAAAACAATGTTCATTGGACCTGTCAATTAAGGCAATAGGCGAAAAGAACTGCAACAATCAGACTGTAACGAACCGGAAGAGATATGTCCGGGAGAAGGCGACTGTTTCAAATAACATGGTCAGTTACCGCCAGATTCAACATGACTTCCGTGATGACGGTAAAACACAGTTGGAAAAATGCTAGTTAGAAATGAAACCGGAAGACATGAAAGTTGAACCGAGGCTAGCGGGAAAAAAACAGGCGAGCGAGCCTGCACGTTTGCTGTTTCATTCATTCTCGGCCTTCGGTTTCAAAGGGTTGTTTGGACAATGAGTATGCATGAAAGTTCTAAATGTCCTGTGCATGACGATACACGTGAGCAGAAAGGAAATTCCCTCGCTGTAATATTGGGATTCCCCGACATTCCGCAGTTATAAAAGTAGTGCGCCTCGGTGGGCGTGGCTTAATTTTTTACATTCATTGGGAAATGAATGCAATAACACGTGACCAATTCAGCTAATCAGAATGCAGGAAAGTCAATGAACACAACGAAAATCTAATTATTCATCGTTGATCCTAGAATTCCTACATTAGACGCAACCAATGACACACCTGCTAGCAAAGATTATCCCTCTGGTATTCACAATCAGCTGAATTGAATTTTTGAGGGCACATAGCTTAATGAAAAAAAGCAACAAGGCCCGAAATCAGAGCGTGAGGTATTCTAACAACCAAAAGCGACAAAACCCTTTCTATAATCATAAGAAACATCTGAAAAGAAAACTCCATTGTGCGCTTCACTTGCAAAAGCAAGTCAATAGTTCACCTGAACATATGGGAACATATGGTACAAGTCAAATTAAGGAATTGCATCAATATTGCCACTAATGCGTAACATTTGGAAATGTCCTCAATATTGGCTACATACCACTTTTTGAAAGTTTGACTGAGGCCTCGAATATTTAAGGGGGCACGGGTGCCCGCGATTCGCTGTGCAGAGTTGCGTCCCTTGGGCACGCCAGAAACCTATGGTTGTGGGTTCGAATCCCCGTTCGTCCCGATTATGTGTCTAGGTTTGTCAGCACCATACCCGTGCTCGTAGGTTTCACCGAAGTGGTGAACGTCCGAGACCTGCATCACTTCGGGCTTACCTCCCACATTAAGCTGACACGCCGTGATATAACTGGAATACTGTTAAAAGCGGCGTTAAACCCAACTCACTCACTCACTCGAATATTTAAAATGTTGAAAAGACCCCAATCCGTTCATATGAACGGGGGCGGTCGGGTAGCCTAGTGGTTAAAGCGTTCGTTCGTCACCCCGAAGACCCGGGTTCGATTCCTGACATGGGTACAATGTGCGAAGCCTATTTCTGGTTTCCCCCGCCGTGATATTGCTGGAATATTGCTAAAGGCGGCGTAACACTATACTCACTCACTCATAAGACTTGGGAGCATCGGGATAACCTAGTATTTACAGTGTTCGCGCGTCGTGCCAGAGACATAGGTTTCATTGCTGAAATTGGCGTGAAATCCTATTTTCTAACTCTCTCACTTTTAAAGGACATGGTGTAAATAGGACAGATTTAATATAAAAACCCAATAATAAAGCTAGTGATTAAATACTTTCTTGGTTGCCAGGGTAACGACAACATAATGGAGTACAACCATATTCACCACATGTGTGTTAACACCAGCGACTGTGGCGCGGTGCATGCTGGGAGAGACTGGACCGCAGTGAGTAGCACAGTTGAAAGAGGAAATTAAGATGTACTTTGCATGCAGAATGTGATCAAAATATTGTATTAGTGAGAAACGGTACACACTGTTCATACTATACACACCTTAAATTACTGTTACGGGAGCCTGGGTGGCCTCGCCTCACGTCAAGGTCCGGGGTCAATCCCAACATCTGTACCTTGTGTGAAGCCTATTTCTTGTGTCCCCGGCCGTGATATTACTGGTATATTGCTAATAGCGGCGTAAAGCCATATTCACTCACTCACCCCACTTGAGTACAAAGTGTGAAGCCTATTTCTTGTGTCCCCTGCCATGATATTGCTGGTATATTGCTAAAAGCGGCGTAAAGCCATATTCACTCACCCCACATGGGTACAATGTGTGAAGCCTATTTCTTGTGTCCCCTGCCGTGATATTGCTGGTATATTGCTAAAAGCGGTGTAAAACCATATTCACTCACTCACCCCACATGGGTTCAATATGTGAAGCCTATTTCTTGTGTCCCCTGCCGTGATATTGCTGGTATATTGCTAAAAGCGGCGTAAAACCATATTCACTCACTCACTCACCAACCCTACATGGGTACAATGTGTGAAGCCTATTTCCGGTGTCCCCGCCTTTGATATTGCTGGTATATTGCTAAAAGCGGTGTAAAATCATATTCACTCACTCACCCCACATGGGTACAACATGTGAAGCCTATTTCTTGTGTACCCTGCCGTGATTTTGCTGGTTTATTGCTAAAAGCGGTGTAAAATCATATTCACACACTCACCCCACATGGGTACAACATGTGAAGCCTATTTCTTGTGTACCCTGCCGTGATTTTGCTGGTTTATTGCTAAAAGCGGTGTAAAACCATATTCACTCACTCACCCTACATGGGTTCAATGTGTGAAGCCTATTTCCGGTGTCCCCGGCTGTGATATTGCTGGTATATTGCTAAAAGCGGTGTAAAATCATATTCACACACTCACCCCACATGGGTACAACATGTGAAGCCTATTTCTTGTGTACCCTGCCGTGATTTTGCTGGTTTATTGCTAAAAGCGGTGTAAAACCATATTCACTCACTCACCCTACATGGGTTCAATGTGTGAAGCCTATTTCCGGTGTCCCCGGCTGTGATATTGCTGGTATATTGCTAAAAGCGGTGTAAAACCATATTCACTCACTCACCCCACATGGGTACAACATGTGAAGCCTATTTCTTGTGTACCCTGCCGTGAATTTGCTGGTTTATTGCTAAAAGCGACGTAAAACAATATTCACTCACCCACCCCACATGGGTTCAATGTTCGAAGCCCAATTCTTGTGTCCCCTGCCGTGATATTACTGAAATATTACTGTAAGTGACATAAAAGCATACGCATTCACCCACTCACTCACTCTTACAGGTGATTTCGTGATTCAGAAAAATGAAGTCTCGACAATATGAAACCTTCTTATTCTTTGCTAATTTCTGTAATAATTTGCATCCGTTGGTGATATTCTTGACATACAGTCGAACAGGCACCAAATAATAATCCGGCATACATCAAAGTTGTCATTTCACACGGGTTCCTGGTGTTAACTGCTGTACAGTCAGGCTCTGGAAACCTGAAGTTCCTTTACAGGTGTAATCAGGCATCAATCAACTCTTTTCTATGATGATGAAAATGATGAAACATTATTTCCATGGTAACGACATTCTCTGCAGCGTGGCAACGTGATCCGATACAACCACATCCACCACGTCTTGAAGCACATGCCGGGGGCTGATAACAGAGGCATCATGCTGGACGACCAGTTCTCCGGCGTCCACATCGAGCACAACGTCTTCTACGAGGTAAGCGAGATGTACCAAGTTTCAAACACTCATAACATCTTAATATCGGTGGGGGCACGAATGGCCCAGTCGTCTAAGGCGCCGCGATTCGCTGTGCGGAGTTGCGTCCCTTGGGCACGCCAGAAACCTATGACTGTGGGTTCGAATCCCCGTTCGCCCCGATTATGTTTCTAGGTTTGTCGGCACCATACCCGTGCTCGTGGGTTTCACCGAAGTGGTAAACGTCCGAGACCTGCGAGACTCACTCACTCACTCACTCAATAGATATTTGTGTTTTAAACGGTTTTGCATTTCAGTTGAAAAACACATTCAGAACAGACAATGCCAATCACAGCTAGACGTTGAATAATGGAAAGTATCGACGAATCTATTTTAAAGTGAAAATTCCTTTAAGAAGCAAAAACAAAATATTTTTGTATTCCACATTTACAATAGCAGACATTCACAGATAGTCACGTTAGACCCAGTCGTGAATTAATAAGACGATTTATTTCATTGTAGAACCAATTTCACGTCAACATCGGCGGCGGCCGTGACAACCTCATACGCTATAACGTCTTCTACGACGCCACCAGCTACCCCATCAACGTGGACGGCCGTGGTCTCCGGTATAATAGCAACCAGGCGACACTCCAAAATAAATTGAAGGTAGGGATAGTCAAATTAGGACATTTAGACAAATAGCAGTCATCCCCATGAACACTGACTGTGTTGCCCAGCTGTCTTAGGCCCCGCAATTCGGAGTTCAGAGTTGCGTCCTATTATTGCACATGCGCGGGTTCAAACGGTTGGTTTGCATGAGTTGAAAGAACAAATGTCAAAATTATGAAGAAAAGGCCTACAAATAATGCCTAAAAGACATGGGAGTCTCTATAGAAATCTGGCGTGGAAGAATCGGATGCGTTACGACACCAAGAGGGACAAAACAGATAAGTAAACTCCTTTCCTATGACCCCAATTCAATGTGGACGCCATTTACAGACCTGGCTTACCGAGTGACGCTCACGACGGTGTTACTCACTTCATTAAGGGTGATATCAACAACACTTTCAACCGCAATACTATCGCTTGCCGACTCGTTCCCATTATCCAACAAAACCACATCACCAGACCCCATATCCATTCCCCAAAACGGATACCTCGACTTTGTTTACATGTCACGAATTTAGGATACACTTCTGCCAAAATTGTCTCTCTGTTCCGGATACGTCGCATCATCTGGCCCAGAGAGCATCAGGATTACTACCTCAACACCCTGCAGATTTACCAAAAGCTACAATAAGTACAGCTCGAGATGATGTTTCGACTTCATATAAAGTGTTGAGTATCATATCGATGTTACTGCCTCGTTCTGGCGTCGAACCCAGGACCTGAAACACGTAACAGTACAACAAACACGTAACAGTACAACAAACACGTAACAGTACAACAAACACGTAACAGTACAACAAACACGTAACAGTACAACAAACACGAAACAGTACAACAAACACGTAACAGTACAACAAACACGTAACAGTACAACAAACACGTAACAGTACAACAAACACGAAACAGTACAACAAACACGTAACAGTACAACAAACACGAAACACCTCAAATTGACAACGGGTCAGGAATGTGAAACTTCAGACTTTGAAAAGCTACTATCCGAGGTAAAGAATGTATCTGCCAAAGTCGATAAATGCCAGGCAGATTTAACAACAAAACTTAGGACAATGTCCGAGTCAATTAACTCTCCTACCAGCGTTAGCGCCCTGTCTGCGAGATGTAACAAACAATAATGGATGATTCAAATGCACTTGGTGAGAAATGTAAGCTTAGATCTGATAAACTGATTTATGAAAATGGAAAGTTTCTCACATATGACCTTGAAAATGAAAGGCCAGTTGAGATTAATAGAACTGTATTAAGCGCAGGTCGGGGCCGCGGCCGTCCCTCGTTTCGTTCACGTGGAGGTCATGGTTAGGGCGGACCCGCACGTGGCGTTTACAGCTAGGATCTCGACCGGGCCGTGGATTGTAACGGTAAAAGAAGAGACTTTTCGTTCATGCCATGGAACGTTAATGGTTTGAATCGCAAGTTGAAGAACAATTCCTTCGTTGAGTGTTGCTCTTCATTTGAATTGTTTTGTTTAACAGAAATTTGGAGCAACTGTTCTGAAGACGATATGAAACAAAGCTTCACCAATCACAATATTATGATAAACTTTCGTGAATACAATACAAGAGTTGGTGTCGCTCTTTTCGTCAAATATGAACTTCTTAAAGGCGTTAAACATGTTGATTTAACTTGTACCGACTGTATATTTATTATACTTGATCACGTGTTTTTGGGTTTACCACGTGATACTTTACTTTTGTTTTCTTACGTACATCCTGAAACTACGCCAACAAACACTGATGTCCGTGATGTTAGAGGTATTGATTATCTTGAGCAATGTTTACAGAAACTTTGTAAATTTGAAGATCTTTCCATTATACTTGCAGGAGATTTAAATGCAAGAACAGGTATTTTGCAAGATTTTATTACATCTGACGATGATGAGAGTGAAAAATATATCTCAACATTAAATGAAAAGGAGTATTCAGGTGATACATTCAATACTCCGAGGTTCTCTCAAGACACTGTTATTAATGAATATGGTAAAGATCTTATCAGTGTATGCTGTACATTTGATATGCATATTCTTATTCTTATTCTGATCATTTTCCTATATCATGTTCCTTAGTTGGTGATTCTCCATAGCTTCAACATTCAGAATCAGAGACTATACCAAGCAAGTTTGATAAATATGCCTGGAAGGAATCTCGGGCAGCAGATTTTATTGATACATTGAATGTGAATATTGAAAAAATAGATGTAGACTATTTTAGTTCTCTTTGTAATCATGACACTTCAGAGGCAGCAGAACTGTTATCTACTACCATTCAGCAGTGCGCAGGTGAAAATAATATGAAAGTAAAATGTCGAACTTCGAATGTGTGCACAAATGAAGCTTGGTATGATGACGAATGTCACCCATTAAAAACTGAGAAGTATATGTACCTTGATAAATTTATATTGTCAGGAAATCTTGATTTTTTGCATAGTTTTAGACCTACAAGAAAAATAAGTATAGAGAGGTTTGTCGTTCTAAATCATCCGTATATGCAAATACACTTGCTGTAGATATTGTCAACTCTAGTAAGCAAAATCCCAAAGCATTTTGGTCTGATGTAAGGTCCATTATAAGAAATCCTAGTAATAAATGCCAAGGCGATATAAGCAGTAAAGCATGGGTTGAATACTTTACTCAGGTGCTCAATATTCAAGACAATGTTACAGATACAGAATTCATGTCTTTTTTCAGCAGTTATATTGATGATATAGATAATTTGGAGATTGATGTGGGTATAAATGACATGATAAACCAGCCCATAACTGAAGAGGAGATCATCTTTGCCATTTCATCTTTAAAAAATAATAAAGCACCTGGCCCTGACGGCATTCCCCCTGAGGTCTACTGATGCGGTGGGAGTATTTTGTTACCTTACCTTAAGATTTTGTTCAATTTCATATTTACGAAAGGGACATATCCTCCACAGTGGTCAAAGAGTATTATATTTCCTTTACATAAGAAAGGATGTAAAAGTGATGTTAATAATTATAGAGGCATTTCTTTGATGGACATATGTGGGTAAATATATACCTTTATTCTTAACAAAAGACTCAACGATCTTGTTTGTTTTTATGACAAGTTACAAGAGTGTCAGGCGGGTTTTCGCAAAGGATATTCTACAGTTGATCATGTTTTTACTCTACAGTGCCTAATCCAAAAATACCTGTCTAAATCAAAAGGTATATATGTTGATTTTCAAAAGGCTTTTGATTCGGTGAATAGAGATTTGCTATGGTATGTTTTATCTACAAATTGTATCAATGGAAAGATGTTGAATATGATACGTGTTATTTATGCAAAAACAATTTCTTGTGTGAAACTTGATAACTTTTCTTTATCAGATTATTTCGAATGTCTTAGTGGAGTTAGACAAGGTTGCGTTTTGAGTCCTCTTTTATTATCTATTTTAATCAATCAATTGGAAGACTCATTACAGACGTATTGTGGTGGAGGTACATGTATATTTGTCGGAGAAGATTTTAATGATCCGTTTTTATTGTTGTATGCTGATGATCTATGTTTATTTGATGACTCAGTTATTGGTTTGCAAAGAAAAATTAATGTTTTATCTTTTTTTTGTAACAAATTGGGTTTGAAAGTTAACTTTGATAAAACCGAAACATTAGTTTTCCGAAATGGTGGAAAACTTTAAAATGTTTTAAAATGGTTTTATGATGATGTACATATAAAGATAGGAACATATTATAGTTTTTAGGTGTTGTATTTTCAAACCGATTATAATGGTCAAAATGTGTGCAAACTTTAGTCCAGAAAGCTAATAAAGCTCTTATTCTCTTAAGCAATTACACATTACACATTAAACCTAACTCCCTTCCTTTACCAATATTGTTTCAAATGTTTGATACGCAAATAAAACCAATATTATTTTACTGTTCAGAAATCTAGGGAACCCACAATTGGAATGTTTTAGAAGCCATATAAACTAAATTTTGTAAATATTTACTTGGTGTCGGGAAATCTTGTACAAATGTTGCTATTTTTGGTGAATGTGGACGCTATAAATTTTATTGTGAGACTTATGTACATTGTTTGAAATATTGGTGTAAACTAACCACTATGTCAAATGAAAGATATCCTTGACAATGTTATAATATGATATATAGATTAGATCAAGTAGGAAGAGTTACATGGGCTACTAACATTAAGAATATTTTGTATTTATATGGTTTTGGTTTTGTATGGGAAAATCAATCTGTTGGTCACACTGATTTATTTATATGTGAGTTTTCACAAAGAGTTAAAGATTGTTATATACAAACATGGCATTCACAAGTTAATGATTATAACATTTAGAATTTTATTCATCGTTCAAAACAGCATTTGTAATTGAACCGTATGTTTTAAAAATCACTTGTAAAGAACTAAGAAGAATGTTATCACTATTAAGAATTGGAGAATTACATATCATGGTGAATATTGGAAGAAAAAGAAATATTGATTTTAATCTTAGATTTTGTCCTTTTTGTAAGAACATCATTGAAACTGAATTGCGTGTTATGCTATCATGTCCATTATATGATGGTATCAGACAGAAACACATTCCAAATATATATTGTAAATCTTAGTTATTTAACCATTTAAGCTCAGGCAAACTAACTGATTTACTTCAATGCTGTAAATATATTAAAGAGGCTATTGTATTACGTTCATCCCATTTGTAATACTTGTTAAATGTTGCACCAATATGTATATTCTATATGTCAATATTTATTTGTACTTTGGCATGTGGCCTATATACTGAATAAAGAAATTGAATTGAAGTTGCGTCCCGTGGGCACACCAAAAACCTATAAATCCCTGTTCGACCCGATTATGTTTCTAGGTTTGTTAGCTCCATATCAGTGCTCGTGGGTTTCACCGAAGTGGTAAACGTCTAAGACCTGCATCACTTCGGGCTTTGCTCCCACATTAAGTTGACACGCCGTGATATAACTGGAATACTGTTAAAAGCGGCGTTAAACCCAACTCAGTCACTCCTTGCTGATACGATTCTCTTTGTATACGAATCTAATTCTTTTAGAATTTCAGCTAATTCAAAGAAAGGGCACGTTGCCAAAAGGTTAAAGATGTAGTAGAAACGTATTATTGTAACATCACGCATGGACATCGTAAAACCGTATGGTAGACAACGGAGCAATGTACTGAATATGGCATGTCTGATTTTCATTGAACCATGCATATACTTTGCATATCTGTTTTTCCTTTGTCATTCACAGTGACAGTGCGTCATATTGACTTAGTTTAGATAGTTTGGGTGTGAAAGTCTTTCGTTATGTTTACCACGAGGATATGTCAACATGGACATGCAGTCAAACAGTTCTGTAAAAATAGATGGTGTCCATATCGTTATCCACGGTACTGTATTTATTCACGATATGGAATTACCATGGGTTTCCCAAGACATGTGGAAGTAATCCTGCGTCATTGTTAGAATACAACATCATGAAAAATATCTGGTCATGCCATTATCATCAATGACATGCCAGGTCTTCACATTCATGACATCATCATCAATGACATGCCAGGTCTTCACATTCATGACATCATCATCAATGACATGTCAGGTCTTCACATTCATACCATCATCATCAAAGACATGCCAGGTCTTCACATTCATGACATCATCATCAATGACATTCTGGGTCTTCCCATTCTGACATCATCATCAATGACATGCCAGGTCTTCACATTCATGCCATCATCATCAATGCCATGCCAGGTCTTCACATTCATGACATCATCATCAATGACAGGTCAGGTCTTCACATTCATACCATCATCATCAAAGACATGCCAGGTCTTCACATTCATGCCATCATCATCAATGACATGCCAGGTCTTCACATTCATGCCATCATCATTAATGACATGCCAGGTCTTCACATTCATGCAATCATCATCAATGACATGCCAGGTCTTCACATTCATGACATAATCATCAATGACTTGCCAAGTCTTCACATTCATGCCATCATCATCAATGACATGCCAGGTCTTCACATTCATGCCATCATCATCAATGACATGCCAGGTCTTCACATTCATGCCATCATCATCAATGACATGCCAGGTCTTCTTTGGGCAGGAGGAAGTTTCGGTCACATGTATCTTTGACTGCGCTCTTATTTGTTTGTTTCAGACTGTCCCATGTGTGACCACCCAATTGTAGTTATGACATAGTGTTACAAGGATTCGAGGTGTGTTAAATGGCCTATTATGTTTACTTTGTTTGTTGTTTAACGCAAAACTCAGCAAAATTCCACATTCATGACTGTAGCCTGGATCAGACGCTCTTGTTTGCTTCCAGACCCTTCCCTACACCAGCAAAACGTGGGCAGACAAATACCCAAAACTGGCCACCATCGACTCCAATCATCCTATGGCACCAATGGGTAATTATAAAAGAGATACGTCGATACTTTATCCGTTGAACATGTGTTATATTATTAGTTTAGTTTGTTTGGTTTGTTTGTTGTTTTACGCCGCACTCAGCATTATTCCAGCTATATGACGGCGGTCTGTATAAATAATCGAGTCTGGACCAGACAATCCAGTGATTGATATCATGAGCATCGATCCACGCAATTGGGATCGATGACATGCATCAACCAAGTCAGCGAGCCTGACCACCCGATCCCGTTAGTCGCCTTTTACGACAAGCATAGTCGCCTTTTACGGCAAGCATGGGTTGCTGAAGACCTATTCTACCCTGGATCTTCTATATTATTAGTACCACAATGAACGTTTAGATCTTTATCACAGCCCTTATACCTTCTCTGGTGATATATTGTTAAGACATGGCTTGTTTGCCAAGAGGATATCTATGATCATTAAATGTTTTGTTTGTTGTGGGTTAGTGGGTATCTAAAGCCTTCGCAGATCACCAAGATTCAACATGGGTTTAATGTGTGAAGCCAATTCTTTGTGTCTAAAACGTAATTTGTCTAATATTGTAAAATGCTGTGAATACCCATGTTCACTCACTCACAATGTCTGTTACTAGGCAACCAAATCTATGACAACGCCTTCTACAACAGGCACGGCTCAAGTGTCGTTCAGTACCACACCTCTGGTATCGTCAAAAGGGAATATTTTGATGTTCATGATAACTTCAAGGTAAATCTTTGTATGCTATATAAACTTTTTGTTTTCAATGATTTGGACCGTCACCGTGGTCTACTGGTAGATCGACCGCCCGGAGAGCGAAATGTTCGGGGTTCGTTACTGCCCGCGTCATACAAAAAGACGTCAAAAGATGGTACTTGTTGTTACCAAGCCAGGTGCTCGGCATTAAGGGGCTAAAACAAGGGCTATTTGAGTGCAATAATCTTGAACGTGACCTTTAAGCTCACCTCACCTACAATGTTTAATGCGCATGCCCTGTTCTTTTTATTCAAATGTGTTTTTAATGACAAATTCAGCAATATTCTGGAACAAGTGATTGACATAATGAACAATGATCCTCACCGTCGGGTAACGGGTCACAGTAGCAACGGAATCACCGAGCCTGACCAAACGATCCACTTCTTACTCGCTTCTTACGAAAGCCTTGGCGGCTTCGGACCTATTCTTAGCCAGAATCTTAAGTTACTGACCTTCATTTTCTGTTTAGGCCAACCCTGCGGATTTTTGGTCTCCTAATGAATATGACTTCCGGTTCCGGTGTTCAGCGGAATCCTGGGCCAAACTAGAGTCCGTACCCCAACCTATCGACATCAACGCTGTTGGCCCACGGCAACCCACAGGACCTAAATATATGCAGAAAGGTACTACGACTTTGACATATGCCTTCATATGCTCTGTTGAGCAAAAAGTGACAGTCTTCCTTGGTATATTAAAGACAATCAATGACATTAAATCAGTGAGTGAGTTGGGTTTAACGCCGCTTTTAACAGTATTCCAGTTATATCGCTTAATGTGGGAGGAAAGCCCGAAGTGATGCAGTTCTCAGACGTTTACCACTTCGGTGAAACCCACGAGCACGGGTATGGTGCTGACAAACCTAGAAACATAATCGGGGCGAACCGGGATTCGAACCCACAATCATAGGTTTCTGGCGTGCCCAAGGGACGCAACTCTGCACAGAGAATTGCGGCGCTTTAGACGACTGGGACACCCGTGCCCCCCAATGACATTAAGAAGCTGAAAACTTCCTTGACAAATTGGTTTTCATCATAAACACTTGCTTCTGACGAATTGCATAAGATAAATAATGGACTAGAAAGCACGGAAAAGTAGATACCTTTGTTGGCTCACGACTGCGTCTTGTATGTACCACCAATGCAAACTGGGTAACTTGACCGGCGTAATAGAAAAAAAACCTACATGAGTTTTAATTTCCTTTGTTACCTGAATTTTATATAGAAAAATTAATCATTCAACTAGAACATACAAAACACTCACCAGCTGGACAGTCAAGAGCCAATATATATACCTCATTGACACTGTATGACTTTTGTCGTCTTTAAGTATTCTCACTTCCAGTGAAAGGAATTAAGATACAAGCAATTCACAAATGACATAGTCTGTTTGTAGTGGCACCTAAAGGTAGGTGATAAACGAGAGGGAATCAGGGGCGACTGGGTAGCCTAGTGGTTAAAGCGTTCGCTCGTCACGCCAAAGACCCGGGTTCGATTCCCGACATGGGTACAATGCGTGAAGCCCATAATCTGTTGTCCCCAGCCGTGACACTGCTGGAATATTGCTAAAAGCGGCATAAATGAATACTCACTCACTCAATACGTTTCAAATCAGACCAGCAGATGATTTGACTCAGCCTGTTGACTTACCACGTAAAGAGTTTGACTGTGTCTCAAAGGTCATGGATATATTTTATTATTTGCTACTGCCGGATCGTGTTGATTAGAACACACGGTTATGGTTATCTGTACAACCGCGTAGGAAACATAACGTGTTCCAGGGCAAAGCTATTTCATGGATATTTGATGGATAACTTGTTGAATTGATGTCTTCCAGCTGTACCACAGCATCACATCACGTCACATCCGGCTTCATGCAGCGGATCTATCATCGGATAATGCCCACCTCTGCGGAGTGCCTTACCAGAATTTTTAACGTGATGACTTGGATATTTTTCTTTAATGATAATGTGAATAAAGTTACATCCAGGTATTTGAAAGGCATTTAGAAGTGATTCACATAAGAAAGAGAATATATAAATGTCATCTTCTTTATTATGAGGAACACAACGTTTCGGAATATATGCTTACTCCTTCATCAGGTGAATGAATGCCATAGTTTCCACCTCTTGTTATCTTATTAATTTTGTTGTCCTTACATGTACATATATATGCTATATGCCGCATGGCATCTATTCACCTGATGAAGGAGTAAGCATATACTTCGAAACGTTGTGTTCCTCATAATAAAGAAGTTGACATCCATATATTGCCTTCCTTAAAGTTATATTCGTTTGGTTGTCTTAAGGATCATACATGACTTATGGCAGTGCGTGATTTGAAACACTACACAAGTATCAGGTCTTTGAAAGGCAATTAGAAGTGATACAAATAAGGAAGAGAATATATGGATGTCAACTTCTTTATTATGAGGAGGGGCGGTCGGGTAGCCTAGTGGTTTAAGCGTTTGCTCGTCACGCCGAAGACCCGGGTTCGATTCCCGACACGGGTAAAATGTGTGAAGCCCATTTCTGGTGTCCCCCGCCGTGATATTGCTGGAATAAGCGGCGTAAAACCGTACTCACTCACTCATTATTATGAGAAACACAGCGTTTCAGAGTATATGCTTACTCCTTCATCAGGTGAATGAATGCCACGAGGCAGTGAGCATATATATGTACATAAGGACAACAAAATTAATAAGATAACAAAAGGTGGAAAATAACAAAGGGTAGAAACTAACAAGGGAAGCCAACAGATGATTAGTGCTGATATGTGATTAACAATAGACAATGGAAGCCAACACTTTACAGTATTTAGCGCTGATGGTATGGAAGCCAGTACATAAGTATCATAGATAAGTAATAGGTAATGAATGAATGATGTTTATTCTCGTAAATCACGGCAGTGATACAGAGATGTAATTGGATACAGGAATTAGATACAATAGGAGAAAACATGTCAGTGGAACATTTCCATACATGATCTTATATAACTCGCCAGTTTCAATAGAATTGGCTTATAAGTAATCAAATGAGAGAATTTTATGGCAGAAGGATACATTCAGTAGTATTGAGGCAAAAACTTGTTTCTAATTTCTGAGAGTTTTGGACATTCTAATAAAAAGTGCATTTCATCACATATCAAATTTTTACACAATGTACATTTTCTTTCCTCAAATGAGAGAATTTTATGGCAGAAGGATACATTCAGTAGTATTGAGGCAAAAACTTGTTTCTAATTTCTGAGAGTTTTGGACATTCTAATAAAAAGTGCATTTCATCACATATCAAATTTTTACACAATGTACATTTTCTTTCCTCAAATAAGAGAATTTTATGGCAGAAGGATACATTCAGTAGTATTGAGGCAAAAACTTGTTTCTAATTTCAGAGAGTTTTGGACATTCTAATAAAAAGTGCATTTCATCACATATCAAATTTTTACACAATGTACATTTTCTTTCCTCTCTTACAATATTATACCATCTTCCTGTTTCAATGGGTAATCTATGATTTGCTGTTCTAAAACGAGCAAGAGAGATGCGTAAGGTGATTGGTAGTTCTAGTAAATAAGGTTCTAGGGATGGTAACTCTTTAAACATGTTATAATAGTAACCTTTAGATGAATTTTCCTTTTATTCTCTCCATCTTTGCAGAAAATTATCAATGAGAACATGTTTCACATTTTGCTTCAACCAAGCGACACTAATAAAGGTTTGAGACAACCAAATGTAATTAAAGCCTATATTTTGAAGAATACATTTTACTTCTTTTAATTGTGGGAAATGGTAATTTGGATTTGCAATGGACATTTGAAACATAAGTTTATATACTATACTAGAAAGGCTAGTTTGTGATGATGTTAGCTTGCACCAATATGAAATCATTCTTATCTTGATGAAAATGCTGAGAGGATACCTCTCTAGTTCACCATATACCATATAATCGGTGTTGACTGTTTTAACTTGAGAATATATTTACAAAATTTAAGATGTACACGTTCAGATTCATATAACAATACTGGCTGAACAAGTTGATCAAATAATTTGACAGTCAATAGGAATTTCTAATATTCTAATTTTACGAAATACAGCGTACATTGCTCTAGATGCCTGATCTCTCAGTCTTTTTAGGGCCTTACAAAATCTACCAGTGTTTGTAAATAAAATACCAATGTTAACATATTCTTTAACAACACGAAGAATCGAGCCATTTAACATAAATTTGAAGCTCCATTTGTGGAGCGCTTGGCAAAAATAACAACTTTCGTTTTGTCAACATTGACTTTAAGTTTCCAGATAGTACAATATTCTTCAAATATAGTGAGACACTTTCTTAAATCTTCTGGGCTTTCGGCCATTAAAACAGCATCATCGGCATACAAAATGAGAAAAAGTTTTATGTACAGTTCAAGTGAATCTATTAAAAGGTTATATACATTATGCAGTCCTTCAAAGTCATTTGCAGATAAAAATTGTTCAAGGTCATTAAGGTACAAAGCAAACAGGAAAGGTGACAAATTTTCACCTTGTCTTACACCAATTTGACATGGGAAGAAACCTGACACCTTGTTTTTATGTGAAACACAAGATTTGATATTTTGATACATATTATAAATGACATTAAAACATTTTCCTTTGATATTAGACTTTATCATTTTTGTCCACAGACCACACCTCCATACTGTATCGAAAGCTTTGCTAAAATCGACGAAAACACAATACAGCTTCTTATTAAGAATTCTATAGATATCAATGAGAGCTTTAAGAATAAACATATTGTCAATTGTTGAGTATTTTTTTCTAAATCCTGCTTGCGCTTCGCTTATTAAATTAGTCTGAACCGAGTAAGCTTGTAAACGATTATTCAATAGTGTAGTGAACAATTTACCTTAACAGCTTAGGATAGAAATACCTCTGTAATTGTCTGGGTCATCTTGGTTTCCTTTGTTTTTGTAGAATGGTTTTATTTTGCCAACAAGCCAAGCTTCAGGTAATAATCCAGTGTCAAAAACGAGGTTAAAAAGCCTTACGTAAACCGGCATCATAACATGAATAGAGCTTTTAATGTACTCATTGTAAATACCATCCAACCCACAAGCCTTATTGTTCTTCAATGCACGGACCGCTGACATAATTTCTTCTTCTGTAATCCTACAATCTAAGATATCATCATGATTATCATAATTTATGTTATTGACCAAAACATCGTCATTATCATCAGAACTTTGATTAAGATTTTTAAAAAATTCAAAAAAATTGTCCATACTGATTTTTTCTGCTGTTTTCTTTGGTTCAAATGATTTTAAAATTTCCCAAACATTCTTAGGGTTACTTTCCTTACATTCCCTCAGTTGTTGGACACATTTGTTTTGATATGTCTTAAATGCCATCTTTAGGGTTTTACTATAAGCTCGACCTGCTGAAATGTACATAGCTTTGCTATTACTGTCTTTAGTCCTTCCATATATACGTTTACGCTTGTGGTAAAATCTACGTGATGATCTACATTTTTCATAAAACCAGGCTTTATGCTTGTGCTTATGTACAGAGTGTCTAGAATTTTTTACAGTACCTAGAGTAGTTTCAGCCGCAGTAACCAGCGTCTGAGAGAGTTTATTTACAATTTGGTTAATGTCATTTGGCTCTATTTGGTCTTTACATGCATCTAATTCTGTACACTGATGGGTAATGGCAACCTTATCGATATTACATAAAAATGTCTCACTTTTATCAGGAACCCATCTTTTTACAACTTTATGTACATGTACATCTTTGTCATCATCTATAACTGGAGACAGTTGTTGTGCTGTACAATCTAACGTTAACGATAAGCCACAGTGTACATCGGACGAGATCGGGTCAAACTCCTGTACCTCAAAATCTATTAATAATGGGAATGTTTCTGCTGATGCAATACAATAATCGACAACACTGGCATTTCTGCATGTCAGTTTACCAATACCCTTGTCTTTGCCTAATCTCCCATTTACATATACAATCCGTTATTTTTACATAAATCCAGGAGTTTATACCCGTTACAGTTTGTTTCAGTATCCATTGATATTCTATCTAATTTTACACCGTTATGGACACTGGGCAAACGGGAGACCGGGAGTAATTAGCACTGATAGGTGAAAGAATGGGCATAGCAAAGGGCAAATTGAAGCCAGCTAGGTAATTAGCACGGACAAAGATCCAAACAATAAGTCCCAAGCACTAGGCAGATATGTTCCCTGGTCACGTTCATGGCTGGCTGGTGTCGCCTGATGTCAATGGCTTCTTGTAGTTTCTTTGTCTATAAAAGTAGGTCAACAATCTGGTCTGTCCCGTAATAGTGTCCGCCCATTCAGACAAAGCATTGAGTTTATCTCTGAGATAAGCAGTATTATGTAGATTTGTGTCACCTGCTAAAACCAATTTCAATCACCCCGTCATTACTAAGAAAATACGCTGAACAATGTCATTTCATTTGGCAAGGATGATGGTTTAGAGGTCTTGGTGTAGCGCTGTTCTCCTGAACTTTCAATTTTAGGCCTCCTCTTCACCGTTCCTGTCAGCGTCTTATCACACTGTGACTGACATTCATTTGACGACCCGCTTTTGATAACCCCCTTCCATTCAACAAACGGCCCGGCTGGCCTCGTCAGTTAGGTGCATTGCCAGGCATAGTGGACAGTTAAGTCCGTCATAGTAGAGAGTGAGTGAGTGAGTATGGTTTTACGCCGCTTTTAGCAATATTTCACCAATATAACGGCGGGGGACACCAGAAATGGGCTTCACACATTGTACCCATTTCGGGAATCGAACCCAGGTCTTCGGCGTGACGAGCGAACGCTTTAACCACTAGGCTACCCGACCGCCCCCCATAGTAGAGAAAATATTGCAAGAAATACTCGCCCTATTCACGAACATCCTGTGTACAAGTCTTTATTGCAAAAATACAAAAAGGCCACATGGAAGTAGTACAAATCTGTGTGGATAGTTGGTGTACAGATATAATACTTACAGGTTGATGTCACGTGTCTTATCATTGCTTCACTTCATAGAGTAGTCTGACTTACAGACCCTGATACAAATATATATCAAATACAGCCCTGGCAAGTCTATAATGTTTGGCAAGTCTAGAATACTGCAGTACCAGGGGAGTCACTGGGCTCCCTTTTATTATATTTTTATTACGGTAATTGAACAACTGTTTTTTTTCTGTGGGATAAGTTCATTTCAGAGACTAGATGTTAGTCTAGTATAAGAGGTGAGAACATTAATACAATGGTACTTACATACATTGATTTATTAAACTCAGGAGATTGGTACATAGACTAAGCGGCAAAAGAAAGTAGGTTGGCAATTTGTAATTTTCCTAAAAACAGCGATAACTAGTGGAAAGTGGGTATTGGGAATATGACTGCACAGGTACAGGTACCAAAAAACCTTACCCGAACGCGCCACCTTTGACGGCGCTCGTGCGTTGACAATAAAATGGTGAAACAGGTTTCCCGCCTATGGCATAAACTGCACGTGCATGTTAGCTGTATAAATGCGTTCGTCTGCAGGGTATAACCACACGTGATGAAATAACACAAACGAAATGCCACGACTGTCACAAGAGCAGAGAGAGAGAGCCATCGGTATGGCCGAAATGGGGGCAACACAGGTCCAAATTGCCAGAAGGTTTGGTTGTACACCATTGACAGTAGCCAGGCTGATTCAACGGTACAGGCAGACAGGGAGGACACAGGACAGGCCTAGAACCGGATGACCCCGAGTGACAACACCACTGGAAGACGGTCAGATACGGCTCATTCACCTGCGAAACAGATTTGTAACGGCGACGGCGACGGCAGCAACAGCGTTGGTACATCCCATTAGCCAACGTACAGTACTACGACGACTTCGTGCTGCTGGAATCCGAGCGTATCGTCCTTTCCGAGGAATGGTACTGACTGCTCAACATCGACGCCTGAGACTGCGATGGGCGAGGCAGGATCGACGCTGGCAAGTGAGAAATTGGCGTCGAGTGCTGTTTACTGATGAAAGTCGGTTTAACCTGTTTCGAAATGACGGCCTAGAACGAGTTTATCGACAATGCAACACGAAGGTGATGAAAGGCAAAGTTATGGAGATCATTTATTGTCGTCCTCTATATAAAAGCTTTTACCTTACCCGGCTAGAACTGGTCTAGACTGCTCATATCAGGCGATTCAATGGATCAGGTGGTCAGGCTCAGTGATATGATTGCAAGCTTGCCACCGTACCTGTAAGAAACGTTCAAAATATCAATATCTGAAGTTTCTGGTCCAGACACGATTATTTACAGGCCACCTTGAATATTGCCTAGTGCCACGTTGAACAAAAACAGCATTACCATTAACTTTAGTGGCCACTCACTTTGTTGAGTTCATATGTATAACATATACTGAGGAGCAAAAGAAACTATACCTCGCAGTTGATTTTATCATGTTTGGTTTTCAGTTGAAAATATTTTAAGGTTTCCCCAAAATTAACTGTACTGGCGTTTAGTTAGCATTCAAAGACTTCTACATGGTTTATTTTTCAAAATGATAAGTACCTCACACATCTTATCTTTGAAAAGAAAGTCTTTTTTTTGTCACAAATTAACATTTTAAACATTGGTAGGAATCACGTGTCTGCAAATTCATCTCTTACCCCAGCCTTCATTTAACCAATTTATTTCAACACATTACCTAGCCACAGATAACTATTTGCAAAACTGTTACAGGAATTAGTGATGGTGAAGTAGACATAATTAATTATTTAACAGTTCTTTCAATTTTCAATTACTTACAAAACAAACTTGGTATACTTTCTTTTTGCCCTTAAGAATAGAAGAAAATATTAGGTCAATAATAAACATTTCATTACCCCTGCCAGTCTGTTAAAATATGTATATCCACAACTAAAACACACTTGGCTTTCGCAACACCCAACAAAACATCAAATGAACATAAGACGGCTTGTCGTATGCTTGAATTAGGAAGGTATGTTAAAGACGTTGCACAACGTTCCAATGTTATCGTGCCAACAATTCACAGAAAGAGCAACCGTCTAGACAAATGAATGTCCCTGCCAGGACCATAAGGAACAAATAACGAGCTCACATCAGAGCTCGAAGGCCATCCTGACACCCCGCCCCAGACAAGTACGTCTCCATTGGATACGTTTTAATATCATTGTGGTCGTGTCCGTATTTACCATCGGCTTGGCGGACGTGACCATGCTGGTTGCAGTGTCATGGTGTGTTTAGGACAGGACCGCAATGAAGATAACATTGTTACAGCTTTTCGTTGAAATGTTTGCTCCAACAGTTGTTTCATTGATTGCAAGAAATCTCACACTACATCTTATCATAGCAACATTTGGCCACATGTTGCTCTTGTCTGTACTGCGTTTCTCGTTCAGAATGACCTACCGTTTCCAGCGCGTTCACCAGATTTAGGCCCCATTGAACACCTTTGGGAAGAGCATAGTCGCCGTGGCTAGCGACGTCCGCATCAACGAACAAACCACCTTATTGACGAATGGCAAATGTCCCAAGCATAAAGGTGAACAGTGAGACGACGTTGTCTATCATGTATAGGTGCTAGAGGTGGAGACACAACTTACTGAACTGTATGATTTGAGTGAGGTCTGACTTCTGTTGTCCACAGGGTGCATGACTTTGTTGGCCTGATACATGGATGATACACATTGATATGAATCAACTAATTGTGCTGTGACACGATGTGTCAGTATCTGTTATCGATTTAACTGACCTGTATTTAATAGGAAACAAACTGGCTAGATTCTGAGTCTGTATACCTTCTTGTTTGGTTGAATGTATTAATATTGGGAAGATGTCACCTTTCTCTGTCCTGTATTACTGGTATTGAAAGTATCCACTCCCCCACCCCCCCCCCCGTTCTCAACAAGACGTGTAGTGAATGGAAGAAACTGTTTAAGGATGTCTTTATCATGAATACCTTGGATCATCTTTGACCTCCGAGTCATTCCACATCCCTTTTCACGAACATCCTGTGTACAAGTCTTTATTGCAAAAATACAGAAAGGCTACATGGAGGTAGTACAATTCTGTGTGGATAGTTGGTGTACAGATATAATGCTTACTTGTTTATGTCACGTGTCTTATCATTGCTTCACTTCATGGCATTGCATGCATAAGAGTAGTCTGTCTTACAGATCCTGATACAAATATATATCAAATACAGCCCAAGCAAGTCTATAATGTTTGGCAAGTCTAGATTACTGCAGTATCAGGAGAGTCACTGGGCTCCCTTTTATTATATTATCAAGATAATTGAACAACTGGTTTTTTTTCTGTACGATATGTTCATTTCAGAGACTAGATGTTAGTCTAGTATATATTTGTCATTGTGAATAAAGTATAGAGTGAATAACGTTACAAATGTTCAGATATGTCATGAAGATAGTGAGTGAGTGAGTGAGTTGGGTTTAACGCCGCTTTTAACTGTATTCCAGTTATATCGCCGCGTGTCAGCTTAATGTGAGAGGAAAGCCCGAAGTGATACAGGTCTTAGACGTTTACCATTTCGGTGAAACCCACCAACACGGGTATGGTGCTGACAAACCTAGAAACATAATCGGGGCGAACCGGGATTCGAACCCACAATCATAGGTTTCTGGCGTGCCCAAGGGACGCAACTCTGCACGGCGCCTTTGACGACCGGGCCTCCCGTGCCGCCTCATGAAGATAGTTTTTAAATCTTGTGAATATTGTGTAATATTTCAAACATTTTCAAATATATATGTCATAGAAATACAAATCCAGTTCATGACGCTATTAGATAAGAAGTATATGTAGATTTGTGTTACAAGGTCAATGAGCACTACTGACCGGCAACATGTACAACATGCACAACCCACGTGACTTTGAAGGTTAATTTTCGATTATTTTAGACTATGTGAGTATAGCACGTGAAAATGGTTCATTTACACATTATACTCATTTTACGACCGCTTCATGCACATAGAGTGAGTGAACGAGGTTCGTGTAAAGCTGCTTTAAAAAATATTCCAGCAATATCGAGGCAAGGGACGCCAGAAATGGGCTTCACACAGTTCAAACCCTGGACAGCGACGTGACGAACGAAATGTTGGCTTCTTTGTCGTCCTTCGCATGCAGGAATATGTCTTGTTTTTAAATATCAAACTAAAATTGATTAAATCTGATCCTACAAATACAAGTTCGTCTGGTACAGGCACTTAAAATAAAATTGTCGATTACGGTTGGTTAACAGAATAAATTATGATGTCAAAATTTAATATCTTCACGCACATAGAGTGAGTGACAGAGTTTCGTGTAAAGCTGCTTTAAACAATATTCCAGCAATATCGCAGCAAGGGACGCCAGAAATGGGCTTCACACGGTTCAAACCCTGGACGGCGACGTGACGAACGAAATGTTGGCTTCTTTGTCGCCCTTTGCATGCAGGAATATGGCTTGTTTATAAATATCAAACTAAAATTGATTAAATCTGATCCTACAAATACAAGTTCGTCTGGTACAGGCACTTAAAATATAATTGTCGATTATGGTTGGTTAACAGAATTAACTATGATGTCAATAATTAATATTGGCATTTGTCATTGAGTGACCACGGTTCTGTAAGTGGATAGTATGATAAAACGTCGTCACCATGGAGACTGTATTTTCGTCATACTCTACCTTTTCTCAATCTCTTGATGAAAGATTTATTCAAAATAGCTATTCCAGCATCCATTTCAACAAAATACGAATGCTCATCCTTCTAACAAGACAAAATATTCTTCAAATCCAGAGTTTGGCTGGCGTATATTCAGATCCCCATCTATTTTTATCACTTATCCTTATCCTAAGATTGCTATGCTTATCCTGCTCAAGGCCATGTTATCCAGCGGTCTATATAAACCATTAACTCTGTGACTGTGACACTTGAAACCAAACAATGACGTGGGTAGTCGCTCTGTGTCTGGGGCTGTTGTTGCCCCTGGGTCACTCCAAGACAGTCCACATCTACGTCAGCCCCAAGGGCTCAGACGGGAACTCGGGGTAAGCACTCACGAATGTTGTTCTTTGTCAGAAACTGACACAGAGGAACCTAGAGTTTTATAATTACAATGTCAATATCATATTCAAATTCATATTGTAATTACAATATGTAATTATGTTTATATGGCGAGGATGGTTTCGAGGTATAAGCCACAAACTATTGTTGAATATATTTGTTTGTTTATTTGTTTGTTTGTTGTTTAACGCCGCACTCAACAATATTCAAGCTATATGACTCCAATCATCCTATGGCACCAATGGGTAATTATGAAAGAGATACGTCGATACTTTATCCGTTGAACATGTATTATATTATTAGTTTAGTTTGTTTAGCTTGTTAGTTGTTTTACGCCGCACTCAGCAATATTCCAGCTATATGACGGCGGTCTGTAAAAAAATCGAGTCTGGACCAGACAACCCAGTGATTGACATCATGAGCATCGATCCACGCAATTGGGATCGATGACATGTATCAACCAAGTTTGTTCGTTTGTTTGTTGTTTAACGGGAACTCAGGGTAAGCTATTCTTTTATGTAAAAGGGCCGATATGTGTGTTGAGAGATACAAGTTTAATCACATTCAAATAGACACAGACGATTTATTTGAAGGTGTAATCTAAGACGGTAAATTTTCGATTTGTTCCAGTGTTGGAAATCAGTTCGTTTTTCACAAATACACCTTGATTGGCGACACATGGGTAATCGTTCGCAAAATGTTTTTAATTATTTTGATATTTTGTATGGGATAAGATTTTACATCAATTCAAACCAATCTCGGAAATCAGAGTTTTGTGTAAAGATGACAACCAGTCAAAATGCCAGCCATTTAATCTGCCAAAGCCCTAAACCCCCCCCCCCCCCCCCCCCCCCCCCCCCTCTCCTTCCCCTTAACTAATACCCAAACGAGCTGTATCCACGGTGGCCTCCCATTAGTTAGACGTCCCAATAGTTAGACAGCTTATAACAACACTTTAAACGGCTGAATGCACACTAATCCTTATGCTTGTTACCTCAGACTTTAAAATGGAATAGTCCAGTTAAGATCTGACAAACAAAGCAAAGCAGCTTTAAATAGATACTTAATATTATACTTAACATTTCATGACACTTTACATTTGATAAATTTTATACAGTTTGTAAAGACACTTTGTTACAGTTTTTGGTATTGTAAACTTTACATGTAATAACTTTTACAGTTTATTTATCCCAGACGAAGCAAGTGTCCACAAGCATCTAAATACTCAATAGCAGACTTGTCACCCTGCTGCAGCTGATCTTTGAGGCGTACTAGGCGGTTCTCTGTCTCTCTGTAGATTCTCTTGTGGCAACGTGGTGCCGCACCAAAGTTCAATTGCACCACCTTAGTCCTTTCACTGAACTTGACTTTCTGGATGACTTCAATGAATCTGTAGGTGTTAGGGTGAAGATGTGGCAGTAGGTAGTTCAGTCGGCTGTGGAATCCCTCGAGGTTGTTGTTGGTTCTGGGTCCATCAGTTTCGAACTGGTTGCACATGCGCATTGGGAATCTGGCGTCATCATTCACCCAGGTTCTCACAATGTAGTCGTTAAAGTCCACAGCTCTAGGCACATCTGGTGTCGACTCCATAGCTTGAACCCACGCATCCTGAACAAAGGGAATGGCCAGCAGAGCTAGCCCAGCTGCTCGTCGAATTCACTGGGTCACACGGGGGTCCTCCTTATATACTCTTCAAAAATAGAAACTTGACATTGATGTAAAAACACTTTTTGCCAAATATCTAAAATAATTTCATTAAATGAGAACCAAATAAGTCAAACAGAAAGATGATGTGTCTATAATTTGCGAAAACACATGCAAAGCACATAAACGTAGCGTTTGGGGATCAATTTGACAGCTTCATCCAAACGCAACCGCCTGTAAAAAACGTGCTGCATGCAGGCCATTGATCCATTACACCTGTAGGTATATTCCCTCTTTGCCTAAATAAAAATGTCTAACAATTGGGGCGTCTAACTAATTGGATATAACCGTATCTACCCAGGTTGGATGCCGCCCACCCGGTTGCCACCCTGGACAAGGCCAGGCAGTTACTGGACAGCAGTGGGATCAAGGACAACAGTGAGTAGGTTCTGCGGCTCACCGGTCAAAATGTCGAATCTCTTCTTATAAATATTCGTCTTCACAATTCATGCAGTATAACATGATTTCCTGAATGTATTTTATAGTCGAACCCGTCATCTCGAATATACCGGTATCTCGAACCTGTTCTCGGGTCGCGACCACTTCACAATATAATTGCTTACACATTTGTCACCAAATCTCGAATTCTAGATAACGATACACAGTGCTATGTCGAACCTTTGACTCGGCCCCAAGTTTGACTTTGTTATAGAATTTTTTGTGTTTATCTCGAAGATGGCATTTGCCACATTAACAATTTTGAGAAGCGCATGTATATCAAGTACCTTCTCACGTCGCTGCAAGTACAGAGAAATTTCAACCAATTTTAACCAATTGTTCAACTATTTAATGGTTGGTTGGTTGGTTTGTTGTTTAACGCCGCACTCAGCAATATTCCAGCTATATGACGGCGGTCTGTAAATAATCGAGTCTGGACCAGACAATCCAGTGATTAATATCATAAGCATCGATCCACGCAATTGGGATCGATGATATGCATCAACCAAGTCAGCGAGTGTGACCACCCGATCCCGTTAGTCGCCTTTTACGGCAAGCATAGTCGCCTTTTACGGCAGGCATGGGTTGCTGAAGACCTATTCTACCCCGGAATCTTCACGGGTATCAACCATTAAATGAACTGATCTTTTACTCCAATGGTAATGGTAATCTGTATCGACAAATAAATCATTGTGAGTAGACATGAGAAAAAACGTGTAGGGAATTTCTATTGTAATACCATATGGGGTTCGCTAAAACGTCCATTGGTATCTACATGTTACATATACTGTGTACGTGATGGCTCCATACTCTTTCGTCCCTGCAGCGGTGTACGTGGAACTGATGGGAGGCTACCACAACCTGCAGTCCACCCTACACTTCACCCACGCCTACTCCCAGCCTGTCACCTTCAGAGCCTACAAGGACCAGGAAGTCCACGTGGTAAGTTGGGACACACGTGGTAAGTGAGGAGGCCAGAGTGGTTACTGGGGAGATCCACGTGGTGAGTTGGGACACGTGTGGTAAGTGAGGAGGCCAGAGTGGTGAATTTGGAGGTCCGCGTGGTGAGTAGGGGCACACGTGGTGAGTGAGGAGGCCAGAGTGGTTACTGGGGAGGTCCACGTGGTGAGTTGGGACACACGTTGTAAGTGAGGAGGCCAGAGTGGTTACTGGGGAGGTCCACGTGGTGAGTTGGGACACACGTGGTAAGTGAGGAGGCCAGAGTGTTTACTGGGGAGGTCCACGTGGTGAGTTGGGACACGTGTGGTAAGTGAGGAGGCCAGAGTGGTGAATTTGGAGGTCCGCGTGGTGAGTAGGGGCACACGTGGTGAGTGAGGAGGCCAGAGTGGTTACTGGGGAGGTCCACGTGGTGAGTTGGGACACACGTTGTAAGTGAGGAGGCCAGAGTGGTTACTGGGGAGGTCCACGTGGTGAGTTGGGACACACTTGGTAAGTGAGGAGGCCAGAGTGGTTACTGGGGAGGTCCACGTGGTGAGTTGGGACACACGTGGTAAGTGAGGAGGCCAGAGTGGTTACTGGGGAGGTCCACGTGGTGAGTTGGGACACACTTGGTAAGTGAGGAGGCCAGAGTGGTTACTGGGGAGGTCCACGTGGTGAGTTGGGACACACGTGGTAAGTGAGGAGGCCAGAGTGGTTACTGGGGAGGTCCACGTGGTGAGTTGGGACACACTTGGTAAGTGAGGAGGCCAGAGTGGTTACTGGGGAGGTCCACGTGGTGAGTTGGGACACACGTGGTAAGTGAGGAGGCCAGAGTGGTTACTGGGGAGGTCCACGTGGTGAGTTGGGACACACTTGGTAAGTGAGGAGGCCAGAGTGGTTACTGGGGAGGTCCACGTGGTGAGTTGGGACACACGTGGTAAGTGAGGAGGCCAGTGTGGTTACTGGGGAGGTCCACGTGGTGAGTTGGGACACGTGTGGTAAGTGAGGAGGCCAGAGTGGTGAATTTGGAGGTCCGCGTGGTGAGTAGGGGCACACGTGGTGAGAAAACAGGTCAATGTGGTGAGTGAGGTGATTCACGTGGAGAGTGGGGAGGTCCACGTGGTGAGTAGGGGCACATGTGTTGAGAAAACAGGTCAATGTGGTGAGTGAGGTGATTCACGTGGAGAGTGGGGAGGTCCACGTGGGGAGTATCTACGCAGGTATTTAAAAAGCATTTAAACCTAAAGCTTATTAGAACTCCAAAAGAGTATGATTTGTCCTGTTTCATCCAGGCGAGAGGCTTCCTTGTAATAAATATGATACATTTATTGACATGAGAAGAAACTCACCTTTTCGTGAACATCTGAACATCATACATGTATTTGATAGTCATTCATACACACATGCTTATGATATGGTCGGGATCGTAAAATGTTTATTTTTGTTGTTGTTGACATTTCTTATGATTTTGGAAAGGGCTTTTGTTGCCATTTATTCAAATGTGTCCTGATATCTTCCAGACAGGAGGCAAGCAGATATCAGCGAACCTGTTTTCCAAGGTGACAGACACAGACGCCCTCAAGATGCTGCCATCAAATGTAATATCAAAGGTAAATATACCGATGCTGTTTACGTTTAATTACTTTCTCAGAATATATTTAATGTCATTTATTCAAGACATATATTGTTTCTCTAAAAGCAGATGTTCTCTTTTTTTTGTTGGTCACATACTTGAGCTAGTAGGACGTTTCCATTTTGGTAAACAACTATGACCTGTGTCCCTTTGGACTTTCACCAATACTGAACTAACACTCCATCATGTTATTGAAACACGTTTCAAAATTGCTCAATCGCACTAATTTGCCCAGCAGTATGCAAGCCCGACTTTCTACCTAATACTTTATGGTACTCTGCTCAAGAACTTCTTCTTCTAACGTAGGTGGTGCAGGTGCACCTACCAAGTGCCGGCATCACCGACTACGGCACGATGTCCAAGTTCGGCACCTATTACTCCAGAACGTCATGGCTGGAGATCTTCATCAACGGGGAGCCAGCCAGATTAGCCCAGTTCCCCAATGACGTATGTTTCTTTCTTTCTGTCTTTGTTGTTTAACGCCGCACTCAGCAAAATTTCAGCTATATGACGGCGGTCTGATAAATAATCGAATCTGGACCATACAATCCATTTATTGGCATCATGAGCATCGATCCACTCAATTGGGATACGATTACATGCTTCAACCAAGTCAGTGAGCCTGGCAACACGATCCCGAGCCATAGTCGCCCATTCTACCCCGGATCTTCACGGGTCCCCAATGATGTAGGAAGCGACAAATGTATTGGCCCATTCCCCTGGTAAGGTGTGAAGGAAGACCCCGTCATATTGGCCAGATACCCTTATTGGGATGAAGAGATGAGGCCCAATTCCAATTCCATAATACGGTTGGAAGGACGGTCTTGAAACTGTATCCTACGAAATGTATACTCTTAATATCCCAATATTTAACTTCCATTTATCCTATCGTTAACTGTACATATACCCCGATGTTTTACTGTCCAAATATTCCAATTATTAACTGTCCAAATATTCCTATGTTTAGCTGGCCGTATATGCCAATGTATAACTGGCCATATATCCTGATGTTAAACTGTCCATATATGCCAATGTTTAACTGTCAATATATGCCGATCTCAGTTCATTGATGGACAAATATTATGAAATATTACAATAGTCTTAATATCACTACTGCTCTTTAAAGTCAACTAAAATCGCCAATCATGATGTATGGCTTACATACATCAATAATATATTTTTTGTCACATGGGAAAAGTTTTGATTGTTACGTTAAGCCAAACCCAGCTTCAAAACCCAATTTCGCCAATGTGTGGGAAGTGAATAATATCATATTGGTACTAGTGGATCATTATGCATGTCACAATCATATGGCCTGGCTATGTACCGCATCCGATAAAATACATTGTCATGTAGTATGTTCATGGCCCATAATTCCCAAAATTAAACACTGACTGTATTATCTCGAGCAATAACTCAAGAACAAGGGCACTAACTTGGCGAATTTGTGACATTCTTGAAGATATTCCTGAACATCGTCTCTGTTCCGCTTGGCCAACATGGCAAGACCTTCACCTACAAGACACCCGAAGACTCCAGATGGGCGCACGAGAAGGAACCATGGGGCTATGGATACTGGTAACCTTCAGATTTGTTTTTGGTTTGTTGTTTAACGCCGCACTCAGCAATATCCCAGCTATATGACGGCGGTAAACTTCAGAATAACATTTACAGTCATAACAGACGTATTGTACAATGACGGCTGTGTGATAGTGAGTGAGTTGGGATTGACGCCACTTTGAACAGTGTTCCTGTTATATAACGGCGTATCAGCTTAACGTGCGAGGAAAGCTTAATCTGATGCAGGTTGGTTGGCTGGTGGGTTGGTTTGTTGTTTAACGCCGCACTCAGAAATATTCCAGCTGTATGACGGCGGTCTGTATAAATAATCGAGACTGGACCAGACAATTCAGTGATTGATATCATGAGCATCCATCCACGCAATTGGGATTGATGACATGCATCAACCAAGTCAGCGAGCCTGACCACCCGATCCCGTTAGTCGCCTGTTACGACAAGCATAGTCACCTTTTACGGCAAGCATGGGTTGCTGAAGACCTATTCTACTCCGGAAACTGAACTCAAAACAAGTTAATTAAAATTTTAGTTTGTTTGTTTGTTGTATAACGCTGCACTCAGCAATATTCAAGCCATATGACAGCGTTTTTTAAATAATAGAGTCTGAACCAGACAATCCAGTGATTGATATCATGAACATCTATCCACGCAACTGACCTGCATCAACCAAGTCAGCGAGTCTGACCATCCGATCCCGTTAGTCGCCTTTTACGGCAAGCATGGGTTGCTGAAGACCTATTCTACCCCGGAATCTTCACGGGCCGAAAATTTTAGGAGAAACGTGTTCCTCACAAGCCGTGTTTGATGAACATTATAATAATTTCACGTCTGGTCTTAAGATTTTCAATGCTGCTGTCTTTACAGGATGTACAGCTGGTCGGATGATGCTACGAAAATCGGCCACCTTGACACCCAGAAACATCAGATGACTATTGTAAACGAGACGAACTATGGCCTGAGAGTAGGTACGTAGAACTGATGTCTGGAGGCTGGTGATCCTCAATGCTCTCCTGGACACACACAGATAGTACTACAAGATCTTGACTGATTTTAGATCATATTTAACATGGATTAGGTTAATTATTACAAAACAGAAAAGTAGAAGTATCTTTAATTTGTTAATAATTCGTCAATACACTTCTTGCTTAACAAAACAAACCATAGCAACGAAGATTTGTAAAGACATGAGTGCTCGTCAGACCAAAGTTCTCATCAAGACTATAAACTTCACGCGCACAGGGGCCACGTCGCTGTGCAGAGTTGCGTCCCTTGGGCACGCCAGAAACCTATGATTGTGGGTTCGAATCCCGGTTCGCCCCGATTATGTTTCTAGGTTTGTCAGCACCATACAAGTGCTCGTGGGTTTCACCGAAGTGGTAAACGTCTGAGACCTGCATCACTTCTGGCTTCCCTCCCACATCAAGCTGACACGCCGTGATAAAACTGGAATACTGTTAAAAGCGGCGTTAAACCCAACTCACTCACTCACTCACGCGCACAGAAGTTGACTTGGAAAAGAAAACTGAAAAAAAATGTTTCGCAAAGGTGGGTAAGGCGCCTCCTGGTCAATTCCTGCGTTCTTCACGCAGATGATCTGTTAGATTTAGATATTATAGATTGGTTCCATTATGTCCAGGTCATTACAGCCCGATCCATCTTGCCTATGCTGACAATCAGGGTGGTTACTTCAGGATGATCAACATGCTCTCAGAGCTGGATCTGCCGGTGAGAAGAATTCCCTCCTTCCACCACCCTCTTTCTCCTTCCTTCACCCCACCCGCCTTCTCCCTCGCGCCCTATCTCATCCCTCTACTCCCCATCTCTCTACCCCGCCTCCTCCTCCACCCTCGTTCATTTCCACACCATTTACCCACCTTCACCCATCTGGCCACCTCCCTTCTCCAAGTGACCGCCTCCGTGGTCTAGAGGTAGAGCGTCCGCCCGGAGAGCGGACCCCCGGTGTTCGATCCCCGGCCGCGTCATACCAAAAGACGCTAAAAGATGGTACTTGTTGTTACCCTGTCTGGCGCTCGGCATTTAGGGGCTAAAACAAGGACTGGTCGGCTCGGAGTCATTATACTGTGTCTGAGTGGGGTATTCATGTTAAACTGCGGCATGGTATCTAAGTGGCTATCACTATAAATCGGCATCAGTCCGGACTAGTACAAGCAGCCACACACTCACACGTGCATGCACGTCGCTATAAAAGTGCAACAATCTTGGACGCGACGTTAAACCCAATTTCACCTCACCTCACCTTCTCCAAGTTACCATGTGAATATCCCAAGTCCTTATCATTACTACTACGGGTATGAGTGACTGTTGCCAGTTTATGGCTTGTGTTATTTATAGGGAGAGTTCTTTCTGGACCGGTCCAATGGCAACCTGTACATCTGGCCCAACACAAAGTCCGGCACCTTGGCCTCCTCTGACATCATCACCGTGTCCCTCATCGACGACTGCATCAGGTCCGTACGCCTTTGTGGACTACAGTTAGTTTAATAAGTTCAACTATGCATTCGAATAGCCGCTAATGAATTATTCATGTTATACTCACAACAGGATATGTAGTGTTACATGCAGCATGCGGGTTTTGTTTTGTTTTTGTTTTTTCTTTTTTTTCTTTTTTTTTAATAAAGGATTGAAAGATTTATTTGGACTTGGATATTGTGAGTTTAATTGAAATGAAGCTTAAAAACATGCCATATAATTGTATACATCCGGTCCGAACAGACTGACTGACTTTACATTTACGTTCACTGGCAGCATGGACCCAGGCGTGAATAACCTCAATTTTGAGGGGTTCACTTTGGAAGCGTGTCGACGCAATGGCATCACGGGAAACGGTCTTAACAACATCAACGTTCAAAACTTGGACATTAAGAATTTGGGTGAGATATGGAATCGGGTATGTAGGAATATAGAGTAAATAGAAAACCTCAACACCATCGTATAACCAGTCTTGATTATCTACCGAAACAGATTCCAATGGGTATAAAAGACAAAATAGCTGTGAAAATTATATGTAGGGATAACTGAAAATCAGTGACAACGACAACATCTACAAGGATTGATTGATAAGTTCTGACCCTCACATAGAAGGAATTGCGCAGTGAAATATTTTGTGAAATATAGAGGTATATCCTCAAAACTTGCATCAACTAATTAAAAGGTTTTGCTGTGACAAGTAAAGAAAATGTGCAGAGATATGTGACCTTTGGAAAATGGACAAACTTGAGGAACTTGTAGTGATGAAGTTCTTGAAGAACAAGGGCTTCACACCAAAAGGTGGTCGGCAGCAGAGTCTAAACTGACAGGGAGAGCCTGGATGTAGACCACCGTCCTGGAAGTCCTATGGTGCCAGCAATAGCAGGCATTGTCCAGAGAATCCATGATATGCTGACGACCACCTGGCGAGCTCTAGCCAGAACCAATTTCGATTCGAACGACAACGTCATACTTATGTGAAACTCAGAACTTATCAATCCTCCACTGAACGTCTCTCTCATCTCTGTGTCCTGATGGAATAAGAGGCTCTTTGTCAAAGGGAGTTAGAGGTTTTGGGGAGAGTAGGTTAAAGTAAGGTGCATACCATCAATGATAGCCTAAAAAAAGCATAGTCAACGTTTTGTATACTCCAGTTTGTTTTACTATATTTCTAAACTTTCACATCATCAGGTTCGTATGGCGTTGACATCAGGGCAAGTAGCAACATCACTGTATCCCGGTGCGACATCCATTACACCAACGGTGGTGTCAGTTTGTACGGTAATATAATACACATGTCTCAATTCAAGCAACGTTGGTTGGGAGTAGGGGAATGAGTGACTGTGTCTCGCAATATGTACTGCTGAGAGTTTATAGTCTCTCCTGTCACACTGAAACACAGGTTACATGCTGCCTCATTTGGCAACTAAGTTTGTTCTATATTTAATTCCGCAAGCAGTAAATGGATACCTTGTCTTATGAGATAGTAATGTGACTGTAAAATTTCCACCACCTCAAAAGGCAGCTGACCCGTGAAAATTCCGGGGTAGAATAGGTCTTCAGCAACCCATGCTTGCCGTAAAAGGTGACTATGCTTGTCGTAAAAGGCGGTCAAACAGACTTGTCACAGCTCGTATGGTTGAGTAATCAGTAAATGGAATACACCACATAGAAACCAAGCCATCTTTCAGAGGAACAGATTCATGTACAGATTCGTATGTTTTGCACACTTACAGGTGGCGACCGGATTACACTAACACCATCCGGTAACGTGGTCGAAGACAACCATATTTGGATGTTTGCCCGTGTAGGGGGCACTGGCTATAACGCTATCACTATTGATGGCGTCGGCAACGTTGCCCGTTACAACCACCTCCACGACGGCCAATACACAGGGTTGATGTGGAGGGTATGTCTGTTGAATGCACACACGATTTATTTATTCATTCGGAATCAATAATTCCACCTGGATCAACCGTTCAAGATTCATTTGAAGGTTTCTATGCCCGGTTATCTGAGTTGGGGTTTTTTCAGTGAAAAATTTTGGTTTGTGTCTATCTGAAACAAATGAACATCTTTAATCCTTGAAAGCCTACCATCTGAAAGCATTAGATTCCTCTGAGGCCACATAGTTTGTTACGTTTAGCTGCCATTTCTCATGAGTATGACAATAGTTTAGTCTCTTTTATCTCACTGGAACCAAACAGCATGCTCAATGTGTCCAGAATCATTTCATTAATGAGGAGCTATACAATTAAAAGATCATTTTTAGTTCAGATCTTGACATTGACATAAGTGTTGTGTGTGAAAAAATGAAGCATTGTCTGTATATATATTCTTATCATTAATTGCTCTTCTGATATACAGTGCATGCTTCACTACAATATAGGTGTTGTTTTGAAAGACTAAATTAAACTTTCTAGGACTCCAAATTGGCCCCGTGCCTTGTCCCCTTGCGTTCAATAGTTTAGTTTGCTAAGGACAAGTATTCCACATGACAAGACAATACAAATTTCTTTCTTCAAGGCCCAACATATTCTGGCAAAAAATCACAACCTATTTGGAACAATGCTGAAACCAACTAAACCACTAAAACACATCTTGGTTGCGAGGGGAACGACAACATAATGGAGTACAATCTCATTCACCGAGACATTGACAATGTCGTGTGTAAAAATGAGACATTGTCTGTATAAATATTGTAATCATTAATTCCAAACTCTGATGTACATTACATCATTGAGTTAGTATACAAGCTAGGTGGTGTTATGACTTGAATTAAACTTGATAGGACTGCCAATTTGCCCTATGCTTAGTCCCCCTTTTAACAGTTTAGTTTGCTAAGGGCAAGTTGTGACATGTGTCCTTTTCAAGGCCCAACATATATCGGAAAAATCACAACATGAATGAATTCATACTAAAATAAATAAATCACTTCTTGGTTGCCAGGGTAACGACAATATAATGGAGTACAACCACATTCACCACATGTGTGTGAACAGCACTGATTGTGGCGGGGTACACTCTGGCAGAGATTGGGCCGCAGTGAGTAGCAAAGAAAATAATTCCTTGCGTGTGCCATCTTGTTTTCATGACTTGCAGTTCTGTGTTTTCCATTGAGACACTGCTTATTGTTTCTTGATCGTCTTCAAAGTTTCTTAATTATTACCTTGTATAAACCTACCTCTTTAAAGTATTCGAGTATCTTCCAATTGGCAGTAATCACTGCGCATCAAAATACGAGGTTTTTGTGGTTGTTTTTTCTCGTCTAAGCATTTTGTGTTTGTTTAAAGCAATGCTTTAAGTGACAAATTGGTTAACATTGAAATGGTAACAAATTGCAGCGTGGCAACGTGATCCGATACAACCACATCCACCACGTAATAAAGCGTATGCCGGGTGCAGAAAACAGAGGCATCATGCTCGACGACATGTACTCCAGCGTCCTCATCGAACACAACGTCTTCTACAAGGTACACACGGACTTTAATCGTACCTCGAACATCTCCAAAATGGGTTCTAAGACGTTTTCATCTATTAGAACAAAACAGCCTCTATCCGTGTAAGACGAATGTTATCTTATGTATGAAACAAAGTCTTATAACATCCATTATTTATTTCTAAACGGACGTTAACAAAGTAAAAAGATAGCTTGGTTCGGCCACAAGAACAATCACGATCACAGTGTCATGTTATACATAGCCTTTGATAAACAAAACATTTCATTTCACAGAACCAATACCACGTCAATATCGGCGGAGGTCGTGACAACATCGTACGCCACAACGTCTTCTACGATGCTGTTGACTTCCCCCTCAATGTGGACTTCCGTGGTATCCTGTATAATACCACTGGGGGCAACCTCTTTGCAAAATTGGCGGTAGTTATGCTTTGGTCCCTTGACTAGTACTAAGTAATGAGTGTCTTCTTGTGATTGTGACAGGGGCGGTCGGGTAGCCTAGTGGTTAAAGCGTTCGCTCGTCACGCCGAAGACCCGGGTTCGATTCCCGACATGGGTACAATGTGTGAAGCCCATTTCTGGTGTCCCCCGCCGTTATATTGCTGGAATATTGCCAAAAGTGGCGTAAAACAATACTCACTCACTGTGGTTGTGTTCACTCACGTTTCTGCTGCTAGGTTTTATTCTTGTTCTAAATCAGATTTGAATCGATCGCATTTTACTAAATATCGATGTTATTATTATATATGTTTTACCATTAGCTGAACACAAAAAAGACACAATTACTTCTTATGCAAATTGTGTGAGTGGCGGTTGCTACCGCTAGGACAGGGCATGCTTACCCTTTTCGCGAACACCTGGTGTCATCACTGATTTTTCGTGATCCATTCATACAATTTTCATCCCTATTTGCCTTTTACGCCCAATGGAATCAATTCGTCGGATAATCGAGACTTGTTATTCTTAGGCGTATATTTAATATTGTGTATTGAAACAAGCCTGTAAGGCCTTCATAGCTCATTCCTTCTGAAGGACCGCCTCCGTGGTCTAGTGGTAGAGCGCCCGCCCGGAGAGCAGAAGGTCAGG